TTTTTGTGATAATTAATGTGTTTTTTAATGCTAGAGGTTCAATATTTAATGACGTTATTGTATTCATTTATAATGTATTCCTGAGCGTCATATGTTGCGTAATATTCTAATGTTTTTATTGCCTACTTTCCAGTTATCATTTCTATCTATTTTTAATTCAGGAATTTTCAAAATTTGTAATTAGCCAATTTTCTATATATTTTTTCTATCAATCCGATTATATTATTATTTTACATTTAACCTCGAGTATAGCTAATTTTCAATTAAAAAACCGGTTTTAAAATTGTATATACATATTTATGTAAATCGTGTATATTTATTTATTCATTGGGCATGGCTATGGAATCTATGAAAGAAATTTATTAATTAATTTTTTAAGGAATTGAACGAAATGTGGTAATGAATTAAAATTTTTTTGTATAGTGAATTATTGTTCACGGCCTCCTTGAATACAAATAAATGTCCGATTAAACTGTACGTAGGGCAGCCATAAATGATTGATCACTTGAGAATTTCAGTAGATTTTCCTGAATTATATCACCAACAAAACAATATTACCCAGAAACTACATGGGAAAAAGTTATTATAGTAGAATCCGGGAAAGGTTCGTTATTTTTATGCTGCTTATCGTTGCGATGTCGCCAGCAATCGTCCTTATCGTGCCACATCGTGGGACTGAGCGCGTGCATTGGCAACGTCAACCCTAGATTTTTATATCTTGTCACAATCATTTATTTTTAATGTTATTAATTATAATTTATTATAATTATAATAATTATTATTTATATTATAATTTATTATACATGTTTTAAAATTAACTACTATTGAAAAAATTATGATCGTAGTATTAGGGAACGCCTTTCAATATTTAGTAATTTCATCGATAGTTAGGTTATGTATATTGTCACTTTGTTTTTGAGTGAACTATTACGTGACCTCGTGTAGACCTGCCCTGTATCTTGTCATTGTTATGTTATCCACTATAGAGGTTAGTACTTGCATTGTTTACAGTGTTAATCTTCAGTGTTTATATAGTGGTGGCCTTTCTCGTGATATTGAATATTGTTTTTATTAATTTATTATTTGTATTTGCTATATTCATTTCTTAGTGTTGTGTTAACTCAAGTACTTAATTTGTATATATTTGTGCTTTTTCAGCGGGGCTCCGAACCTAGGACATGACATAGGATTTAATAGGCAAGGGATAGAAAGAGACACGGTTTATAGTTTTGTAAATTTGTTTATTATACTTATCCCTAATTTATTATTCTAATTCTTAATTTATCGGTTTTTATTTATCCTTTATTTACGATCATTGGCCAAGTGTTCGGGGTCAGAGAATGCGTATTTATTGATTAGTCCCATCAGTAGAATTTTAATTAATTATAATTTAGTTTCATCAAACTTGAAGTGGCCGAGTGCTTAGGATTACAAAGATTAACGCAGTGAATTGAGGGTTCGGAATCCGCAACTGTCTGTGAAAAATCTGTTTGAAATCGACAAGATAGACCATTGGACCAACACGGTTTAATCAAAGCTGACATTACATATTATATATTACATTATATTATATTCTTATAAATTGAAGAGTTTTTTTAATTACGCTCTAAGATGTAAATGATAAAGCTTTTAGAGGCTAATAATTGTTATAGGTAATTTTTACAGGTTTATTGTTGTTTAAAATATCATAATTTGTGATAAGTCTAAGATAATATAAGGCCTAATGTCACAAACAATAATATTATTAAATGTATATGAATTTAAATAACGATGATGAGATTTACGTACTGTGCGATTTGAATTCTTCAATACAATTCCCGTGTTTCTTGTACTACAATAGTAGTACAATACAATTTACTGTACAATCCTCATGAAATTGTTCAAGATTAAGTAACAATAGAGCGATTTTATAGCCTAGCCACTGCAGATCGTCTCAATTGACGTAACAAAGATACGACTTACGTGTTAGACGCGTGCGTGTCGTTGGCAATTTACGACGCTGCATTTACTACATTGTCTCGTGAATGTCAGACTACGTCTGGCACTTACGACTGATGTACGACATCAATCAAAATGATGGCACGTCACATGGATGCCATTTTGTCGTTGCGTAAATAATATAATATGTATTAATATTTTTGACCGTATTTTACTTGACAGAGTTCGAAAAAAAGTAGTGAAAAGATTAGAAAAAGATTAGATTAGAAAAAATATAACTCAGTACTCACTGCAGTGAGTGACAGAGAGCGCATTTTCTCGTCGACGACAATGTGAAGTCACTGACGGACAGACAGACGGACAGACGGACAGACAGTGGTAGAAGAGTGGTGGAAGAGTGGTTAAAGAGTGGTGGTAAAGTGGTAGAAGAGTGGTAGAAGAGTGATAGAAGAGTGGTGGTAGAGTGGTAGTAGAGTGGTGGTAGAGTGGTAGAAGAGTGGTTGTAGAGTGTTAGAAGAGTGGTGGTAGAGTGGTAAAAGAATGGTTGTACAGTGGTAGTAGAGTTGCAGTAGAGGGTGGTAGAGAGGTATAAGAATGATAGTAGAGTGATAAAGTAGCAAAAGATTGTCTAGAATTATTGCAGCCAGCTGCGTGTTTCGAACCCACAACTCGGTATTTCACCCTATGCCATCTTGATTGCTCGGCCATCCCAGGATTGATCTCAACAATAACTCAATGCCAACAATGACCTCCATGTTCATTGTACGTTAAAATAAATATCATAACAATGAAAATTGCTTGTAACGGACTAGCGCATTTCTCACAGCTTGCGGTGGGTATCGAACCAACAACTCGCTGTTCAATGCGGAATGAAAACTTCGTGTTATGAACTTTGATCATGATTGCTATGTAGGCATGAGACATGATTGCCGCAATCACCGAATTACAGCTCAGTCAGTAATTGTAAAATTACAGATTTACCAATTACTTTAATTAATTAATTGGTAAATTACAGATTTACCGTAACTGGTGCATAGGTCGCCACTATATAGTGACCACAATAGGCATAGAAATATTGATGACAACTAGAAACTAGTTTACTACGATCTAGAAAAACTAGTAACAAAAGGAGCGCTGGAAAACCTTTTTATATTTGCGATCATTGAGTTAGTGTATAATATAATTAACATTAATAGGTATTTTTGTTCCTTAAATGTTGCAGTTTAATTGTTATTCATTTTATTTTGACAGGGTTCGAAAACAGGGTTCATTTTATTTTGGCAGAGTTATAATTTCACGTCTATCTGTCTTGCCCGTCTATCTGTCCAACACGTCTATCTGTCTTGCCCGTCTATCTGTCTTGCCCGTCTATCTGTCTTGCCCGTCTATCTGTCCTGCCCGTCTATCTGTCTTGCCCGTCTATCTGTCTTGCCCGTCTATCTGTCTTGCCCGTCCAACTGTCCTACACGGCTATCTGTCTTGCCCGTATGTCTTGCCCGTCTATCTGTCTTGTAGAGGCATCTGTCTTGTAGTGGCATCTGTCTTGTAGAGGCATCTGTCACTTATACATCTTTTCTGACGTAGTTCTGTCAAGTGGAGGTGACAGGTAGAACGAGAATCTAGGTTGACAGTGATAGACGGCAGAACTTCATGGATCATATTCATTTTATTCAACGTGATATTCATAATATATTCATGATCATATGCAAGTATGTGCAGTGCCAAGTATTTACATGTGAAACGAAAAAATATATATTTTCGCAAAAAAAATACGAAAATAGGCAGACAGTTTTTTGTTTTTCACGACTTAAATTTAAAAATTTGAGCTCAAGTTATTTCTGTGTTATATATAAGAGATGAAATACATCAAAGCGAAGGTTTTTGTGGTATATAAAATATAATATTTTGAAAAATCTTAAAAAATATATAAAAAAATGAAACATATTAAATATAAAAATATGTTCAAATATTTTAATATCAAATATTTATTACATATTGAAAAATGTTTTTCAGTAAAAACGCGGTATGTTTTTCCCAGTAATCTTCATTGACTTAAATGCCGACATATCATGCATAAATATCAATAATTAATGACATCAATACTGAGAAGTCATTAATTATATTCACTTTGTACACTATATCCTGTTTTTTTACTGCACGTTTGGGATATTTTCTTGTCATTCGGTATTTTCCTAGGGAATTTTTTCCCGGGATCTTCGTCAAGGTTACATTTTATAAATTGCTTGTGTGCTTGCGATGCATTCGAGGTATTTTTCAATCAATTAAGAAATGCCTTCTGTCAAGCAGGGAAATTAAATTTTCGTTGATGAATTTCACCGAACTCGTTATTAATAGCCTAATAAACGATAAGAACGCTATTATTATTATTATTATTATTATTATTATTATTATTATTATTATTATTATTATTATTATTATTATTATTATTATTATGACATGTCTCGTGAAAAATAATAACCTAAAATGAATAGCCAAAATATTGCTAGCACTGTAGGGAGAATTTTTGAACAAGCCTTGGTATTTTCATTATATTTTTGGCATAAAAAATGCATATCTTCTTGTTTTATTACAAATTTCTTGCTGTCAATTAATGAAATTTTTTCTTAGATTTGTGCTTCTCCGATACAAAATGAACTAATATTATTTTGACGAATGATTAAAATTATATTATCTGGTAATTAATGTCTATATCTCGGTTAATGATATGGAATTGTAAGACTCACTAGTATATTGATAGAAAAATCATGTTGTCAATCATTTTAAGAATAGGCTATGTATCTCATTATTATTTCGATTTAATAATGAGGTTAAATATTTCCAAATAATAACGAGATTGACTTGTACGTGTCATAAACAATAACGTAATAAGTTTATTATCGTATGGTAAAATTTATTTAATATGAAATTTCTTAAATTTACAGATCGGATTCCGTGAACCGACTCCACGATTCTAGTGTCTAGTTGTTGATAATTGATTATGATAGTATCCCCCCACTTTTTTTTGTCGATTGCCTTAAAAAAAAAACTTTTCTTTTCAGGAGTAACTATTACTTTTTGAAGAGAAGCATCTAACTGGATGATAAATCTAACGAAAAATTTAAGCAGCAATGGCGGTAAAATTCCATATTAAAATCAAAACAAATGAAAATGTATCAAGCAAAGCAATTTCTTGGCATGATTTAGCAAATGCAAAGGATAAGAAATATCAAAGCCGGGCCAATTCCCGCAGCCATAGCACCGGATGCCTATACCGTCCCGTGACCCTTCTGGCCGCTGTCCTGTTGTGCTGCAGTTACGCTGCACAAACAGGAGCACAGAGCGCATCCGGACTGCCTTATCCTTGCGACAGGTAAGTCAGTTAGTTATATGTTATCAAAGGTGTGTCACTGAGTTTTTTATTGAGGCACATGCCAGAATATGTTATGAAAGGTGTGTCACTGAGTTTTGTATTGAGGCACATGTCTGAATATGTTGTGTCACTGAGTTATGTATTGAGGCACATGTCTGAATATGTTATAAAAGGTGTGTCTCTGAGTTTTGTATTGAGGCACATTTTAGAATATGTTCTACAAGGTGTGTAACTCAGTTATAGTCTTATGGAAAAGAAGAGTCGGCACTGAAGAAATAGGCCAATGGCCGCCGATTCTTGAATTTTTCGTGACTTGATTCACAAGGGATCCGGCCTTTGAAACCCGATCTTTCCATAACTGACAATTGATTGAGATAGCTGCTGGACTTATTGCCTGGTCCGTAATTTGCTAGGTATTTCAAGACTGAACATATGCTCCTGCATAGCTTCGTCTGGACTTATTGCCTGGTCCGTAATTTACTAGGCATTTTAAGACTGAACATATGCTCCTGCATAGCTTCGTCTAGTCTGTTCTTGGAGGCGTTCATACTCGGAGCTTCAACGATGCTATCAGGGAGGCTGTTCCACATGTCGGCGACTCGAAGCGAGAAGAAATTTTGTCGCATGGATGTGTTACAATGCAGTTTTTTTTAGTTTATAGCCGTGGCCCCTGGTGTTGGTTCTTGTTTCAAATTCTAATCCTATTAAGGCACATGTCAGAATATGTTATGAAAGGTGTGCACTGTGCCACTGAGTTATGCATTGAGGCACATATCAGAATAAAGTGGTGAGTCAATCGATAAATATTGTGACAGATGAGTCAAGATGTAATACATTATTCAGCACGCAACGTTCGTATATTTTTACAGTGGTGTATGATCGGGACAAATTAAATAAGAAGATATATATTGAGACATATGAGTCATAAAGTGGAACGTTATATTCAGAAAATAAAAGTTTAGTAAAAAAATAACCAAGTGATCTAGAAATTTTGATTCGATTCAAAATATAATATTTACTAATGGTGGATCAGGAAATTTTTAATCAGTGATTTAGTTGATATAAGAAGTCACGGCATTTGAGAAAAATAGTTAGTTGATAGTTACAAGTTGGCACTTCGGGCAAATACGAGTATTTCGTGGCGTAGCCATGGTTGATGACGTAATAACGTCTGATGTCACCGTAACGGTATAGAAACGGTTTTAACGTAGTAATGGTTTCAACGTAGTAACGGTTTTAACGTAGTAACGGTTTCAACGTAGTAACGGTTTTAACGTAGTAACGGTTTTAACGTAGTAGCGGTTTTAACGTTGTAACGGGTTTAACGTAGTAACGGTTTTAACGTAGTAAAAGTTTTAACGAAGTAACGGTTTTAACGTTGTAACGAGTTCAACGTAGTAACGGTTTTAACGTAGTAAAAGTTTTAACGTGATAACGGTTCTAACGTTGTAACGGGTTTAACGTAGTAAAGGTTTTAACGTAGTAAATCATTCTTCACTGTATTATAAACTTTTGTGTCGTCGGCATACATGGAGCACACGCTGGATACTACTTCTGGCGGATCATTTATAAAAGCAACGAACAAAATAGGCCCCAGGACGCTTCCTTGTGGCACGCCACTGCGCACTGATGCCCAGTCTGACACGGTTCCGTTAATACTGACACGTTGTCGTCTACCTACTAGAAAATCTCTGATCCATTGGAGTACGTTTCCCTCAATCCCCAAGGACTTCACTTTACGCAACAGCCGCTCATGCGGAACACTGTCAAATGCTTTGGCAAAATCGAGCCAAAGCGTAGGAACGGTTTTAACGTAGTAATGGTGTGTGACGCATTAACGGTTTTAACGTAGTAACGGTTTTAACGTAGTAACGGTTTTAACGTTGTACCGGTTTTAACGTAGTATCGGTTTTAACCTGGTAACGGTTTTAACGTAGTACCGGTTTTAGCGCAGTACCGGTTTCAACGTAGTACCGGTTTAAACGTAGTAATCGTTTTAAACGTAGTAACGGTTTTAACGTAGTAACGATTTTAACGTAGTAGCGGTTGTAATGTAGCAACGGTTTTAACGTAGTACCGGTTTTAACGTAGTAACGGTTTTAACGTAGTACCGATTTTAGCGTAGTACCGGGTTAAACGTAGTAATAGTTTTAACGTATTACCAGTTTTAACGTAGTAACGGCTTAATAAATACAATTACTACGTTTTAACGTAGTAATGGTATTTGACGCAGTAACGGTTGATGACGTAGTAACTTTAGTGGAGTATTAACGGTTGGTGACACAGTAACGGTTGGTGATAGAATCACTTGTTGCCATCAGATGTGATGGCAACAACATGTGTGCGCATTGTTGCCATCAGATGTGATGGCAACAACATGTGTGCGCATTGTTGCCATCAGATGTGATGGCAACAACATGTGTGCACATTGTTGCCATCAGATGTGATGGCAACAACATGCGTGCACATTGTTGCCATCAGATGTGATGGCAACAACATGTGTGCACATGTTGTTGCCATCAGATGTGATGGCAACAACATGTGTGCGCATTGTTGCCATCAGATGTGATGTTGATAAACTGAATTCGAACCATCAACATCAGGCGTGACGATCCAGCGTATGGCTCACTATACGCGAGAGTTCCTTTCCAGTGAGACGCTTTGCATTTCTATTGAATTTATATTGACAGGCGTTTTTATCAGTGGCTGATTGGCGAATTATCGGTGGACGATATGTGTGTCATCAGTGACTGATTGACGAGTTATCGGTGTAAGATATGTGTTATCAGTGGCCGATAGGCGAGTAATTATAGGTGGACGATTTGTGTGTTATCAGTGGCTAATTGGCGAGTTATCGGTGGACGATATGTGTGTTATTAGTGGCCAATAGGCCCGTGTTATCGGTGGAAGATATATGTGTTACCAGCGGCTGACAGGCGTGTTATCGGTAGACGATACGTGTGTTATTAGTGGCCGATAGACGTGTTATCAATGGACGATATGAGTGTTATCAGTGGCTGATTGACGAGTTATCGGTGGACGATTTGTGTGTTATCAGTGGCCGATAGGCGAGTTATCTGTGGCTAATATGGATATCGACTGCATGACGTCCAACTTTGATTCCAATTCATTTGATTAGGATTCGAGTCCGATTGACATTTCCGTCCAATTGGTTATTATGTGGTTTATTCGAGTAAAGAAAATTAATGGTAATTTACTAGGGGCAATTACAAGGTCGCCACTTTTGCTGAGTCGCACGTCAATAATTCGGCTATTTCTGCTGGGTTCGCTGCTCGTGCAGCGGAGGATAGCAAAAGACGTAAATACGCGGCGTTGGCAGCTCGGTATCGGTTCGAGCCAGTCGCTCTAGAAACGATGGGTACATATGGTGAAACGACTGGTCCTTTAATATCACAGATTGGTCGCCGCATAGCGGAATTGTCCGGTGAACTTAGAGAGACTCTATGGTTGGAGCAAAGGTTGGGTTTGGCTGTGCAGAGAGGCAATGCAGCTAGCATCCTAACAGCAGTCAGAGAAAAGTTCGACGTGGGCCCGCTCCTCGCTCGCGTCACAGCTCAGTGACCCTCGGAGTCGGTGTAGGCCACCATCAGAGGTGGCCTACAAGGTCGGGGCCCTGATCATTGACATGAAACCATTCCCTGTTTTTAATTAATAAAATCAATTCCTTTTTGTTGGAATGGTGTGTATGAATTAAGTGAATGGGTGCATTATAATAATGGCCAGTGGTTAATTGCATTAACTTTAATTGTATTAGTTTTGTATATTAGTTTCGGTACTGTTATCTGCAGTTCTAGTGGGAGTTTCTGTAATATTAATGGTTTAAAGATTTGGTTGAAGGTCCCTTTTGAAAAAAAAATTACAAGGTTGCTCATATTTATATTACCCGCTCATAAGATAACTATAAGCAATTTATTGATGACAATTTTATAGGTTGATCACTTAAATATTATCCAACGGATATTTACAATTCAGTGCATTTTGTGACATTTCATCTGTGATTTGTGGGAGACCTTTCTCGAAACCCATTTTCAACCATTAAAGTTCACCATTAACTTACCTTGCTTAGCCATTAGTGAACTGTTGAGGTAGCGTTCACTTGTCATTCGCAAAGAACAGTAACTGTTGATCTGTGACCACAAGTGGAGTGAGTGTTCTCTAGAATCGGTTTGTGATGGGACCGGAAATTTTTGTAGTTGTTTGACATCTGAAATTCAGTTGACCTTTTAACAGAAAAAATGTATGAACCGTAACCTATTGTTCAATTAAATTGCCGATAAATTATGAAATAGGTTATGCCGTGTAGGGTTTTGTACTTCATTGGTATCTGATTTGCATTGCCCCTATTTTCAATTATTTCCTAGCTATTCCTAGCTATTTATGATCGTTCCACTTATTCAGAAATCAATTCCATTTACAATTAGATTGATAATATTGCTATTCCAAAATTAAACCGGTCAACTATGATCTTAAACTTGAGTAAACTTCTAGAAAATATCAAGACTGTAACTGAGCTATGCTTTTGCTTGGGTAGAAAACGCGTGTTTTTCCAAACACCTGAACAGGTTAGGAAGATGCGTATTGTTGACCTCGCTCCTACCAAGTGAGTAATTTGTTAGTGATATTTAATCTAAATTTCACCAAAAAAGTACAAACAAATTTTGACCAAAAATTTTTAAATAAAAGACCAAGTAAATACACAAAATCTTTAATGAAAAAAATCCCTCCAATGATTCATTCAGGGTATAATGAATGATGAATATGTTGGGGCATTTCCTTTGATTTGAAATTCTAAGTGAACTTGCGATTTAGGCAGGCATTAATGATATTGAGTAGACTAAGGATATTAAGCAGACTAATGATATATAGCAGACAAATGATATTAGTTTAGCAGACTATTGATATAAGTAATCGTAAATTTCATTAATATCATCAGTGTTTTCAGTACTAAAACGCTAATTAATAAGGGTTAGGCATTAGTAACTCTGATGTAAGAGGCCAACAGATTGGCTGTCATCAAGTGACGTACACGTGACGTAGCATATGAAGAATTGCTCTACTTGCAGTACATCAAATAGATCGACGTAGATTAACTACGTGAGAGTATATTAACTACGTTGACGTGGATAACTACGCAGAAGTAGATTAACTACGTTGAAGTGGATTAACTACGTTGAAGCGGATTAACTACGTTGAAATGGATTAACTACATTGAAGCAGGTTACTACGTTGAAGTAGGTTGAATACGCTAAAGTAGATTAACTACGTTGAAGTAGATTAACTACGTTGAAGTGGATTAACTACATTGAAGCAGGTTACTACGTTGAAGTAGCTTAACTACGTTGGAGTAGATTAACTACGTTGAAGTGGATAACTACGCAGAAGTAGATTAACTACGTTGAAATGGACTAACTACATTGAAGCAGATTACTACGTTGAAGTAGATTAACTACGTTGAAGTAGATTACTACGTTGAAGTAGGTTAAATACGCTAAAGTAGATTAACTACGTTGAAGTATATTACTACGTTGAAGTAGATTACCACGTTGAACTAGATTACTACATTGAAGTAGGTTAAATACGCTAAAGTAGATTAACTTCGTTGAAGTAGATTACCTACGTTGAAGTAGATTAACTACGTTGGAGTAGATTAACTACGCTGAAGTAGATTAACTACGTTGAAGTAGATTAACTACGTTGAAATAGATTAACTACGTTGAAATAGATTAACTACGTTGAAGTAGATTAACTGCGTTGAAGTAGATTAACTGCGTTGAAGTGGATGAACGACCATGAAGTAGATACCAACGTTGAATTAAATAACTACATTGAAGAAGATTACTACGTTGAAGTAGATAACTACGTTGAATTAGATAACAACGTTGAAGTAGATTACTACGCTGAAGTAAATTACTACGTTAAATTAGATAAGTAAGTTGAATTAGATAAATACGTTGAAGTAGATTACTACGTTGAAGTAAGAGTAGATTAACTGAATGATCGACGCTTTGCAAGTAGATTACTGACCTAGCAGGCGATTTTTAATCATAAAACTTGAAAGATTGATGGATTTGAAAATAAGTAAGCGGTCAATCTGATAATTAGGAAGGGGGCTAACGGCCAATCAGATGAAGAAGTATATAGGCGACTTCTTTTCTTCAGTTAAATGCAAAATGCGAGATCGGCATAGTGGAACTTCTGATGGCAGCAATTTTGTTCCCGATTACTCCTCCAGACTTCAACTTATTTAGCCTTTAAACAATTATCACTCGCAAATTACTTATTGTTAGCGACATTTGTTCCTTCAATAACTAAAACATTCATTGGCATCGCTATCAGAACATCGTAAATTTTTGTACTTCTATTACATTATCAAACACCAAAAACTCCATTAAGTTATTTTTATTTGGCGCCATTTTCTAACACTTTAGAATCTCAGTAACATTCACTAACTCATCTGTTGATTTCGTCAACATTGTCCAACATTTTTATGATTTCATCATTATTCTGTTAAATTTCACAACATGTCAGCAACATCCCCTAACACCTCCCTCTCTTACAGCAACATCCCCTAACACCTCCCCCCATACAGCAACTTTCCCTCAAAATCCTCCTCCTTACACCTCTCCCCCTTATAGCAACATCTCCTAACACCCCTCCCCTTTACAGCAACATCCCCTAACACCCCTCCTCTTTGCAGCAACATCTCTAAACACCTCCTTCCTTATACATCTCCTTCACCTCCTTCCTTACAGCAACATCCCCTAACACATTCCCTAACACATTAACATCCCTTTACAGCAACATCTATTGCTACGGAGATCTACTGAAGACCGTGCAGCTCGCTCGTATTTACAGCGACTCTAAACACTTCGTTGACATGCCTCTTGTGGATGAGCCTGAAATTGTACAGACTAACTTCGCTAAACTTATGGATGATACAGCAGGCAACCCATCCAAAGAACAGGTAGAAACCATGCATTTATACATGCGTTAATCCCTTTTTCTTTTTAAATTCTATTCTATTCTAAACCCCTCAAAAGAACAGGTAAATACTGTGCATTTTTACATGCGTAAATTCCTTTTTCTTTTTAAATTCCATTCTATTCTAAACCCCTCAACAGAACAGGTAAATGCTTTTCAAATGTGTAAATTAATTTTTAAATGTAAATTCTATTCTATTACAATTCTATTCTGTTCTTTCCTATGTAAATTCATTTTTCTCTATCCTTTTTTCTAATATTTTCATGTGAAACAAGCTACAAATAAATGGTAATTGTAACAATAACGTGTAATAAGCCAAGCGCTTGATGCTTATTTCAAAAACTAAATGTAATACAAAAAAACCGATGATTGATTGACATAAATTTTATATTAACCTAAGAAATAGATAGCAATCGCTATATTTTATCAACAAAATCCAATAATTATGCTTATAAAAAATCCACGTTATAAAATTCAGGTACTTTTTTTGTAGAATAATGATAATTAAATCCTCTTATGATTAATAAATACTCAATAATTCAAATTCTAAATATTCAATATTCTAGATTCATTATTTATATTTTTTATTATGGTTCATAAATTAATTTTATTTCTCTAGGTACGGAAATTCTGAATAGATGTTCGATCTCTGAATTGTTTTTATTCATCCAGGTCCAGGAATTTGTTGAGGCGAATTTCAATGAACCAGGAGCTGAATTCGAGAACTGGAGTCCAGACGACTGGACGGAGAGGCGAGTATAGTTTATTTTTATAGAGTTTCAACAGTTTTTCAAGTTTTCTAAAAACTTCCTTTGAAAAGAAAGTTTTTAGAAAACTTGAAAAACTTCCTTTGAAAAGGAAGTTTGTAGACTTGAAAAACTGTTGAAACTCTATATAAAAATCAAGTCCGATTTATTATTTCCGAGTATATTTTATTTATATTTATATACTATGTACAGTTATTTCTATAAACGTGTTACGCATAGTTTTACATTATATAAGATTGTAGATATGTGAAACTCTGGCCAGGCGTTAGATTATCGGGATCGATAATCTCTATTATATTAGAATCTTGTAATTCCGTATACCTTTAATAATAAGAAAGTTATTTATAAATTAAAAAATTTTTATATTGGAGAAAGACCCGTTCAAACTCAGATTTTACATAAAGCCTCCATTTGGCTCTCGAATCAAATTATGATAAATGCCATATGGCACTTATTTTAAATTAAATTTCAAGTACCTATTCAAAAACTAAATTTTTATTTACTTTTCATCTTAGGCTTGCAATGTCTTGCTAATCTGCCACTTGAAGTAAATTTTCAGGTCGAGGTAGTTTAATAATTTTTTTTTGGGAAAATTACTGTAGTATTATTATTATTAAAATGATTATTGAATATTATCAATAATAATAATTAAAAATGATAATTATTGAATATTATCAATAATGATAATTAAAATAATATTTTTTATCCATGTTCACAGCCCAGCGTTCCTGGCGAATATTTCGGACGCGCAATACTACAAATTTGCGACCAATTTAGTCGCGCTTTGGAAGGATCTTGGCCGAAAAATTTCCCCAACTGTGGCGGAAAATCCTGAGAAATTTTCCCAGATTTACGTGGAAAAACCCGTGGTTGTGCCGGGGGGACGGTTCAGGTAAATAATTGGTTGCGTGGTGGGGTTGCGTGGAGGTTACAGCAACATCCCCTAACACCTCCCCCCTTACAACAACATCCCCTAACACCTCCTCCCTTACAGCAACATCCCCTAACACCTCCCCCCTTACAGCAACATCCCCTAACACCTCCCCCCTTACAACAACATCCCCTAACACCTCCCCCCTTACAACAACATCCCCTAACACCTCCTCCCTTACAGCAACATCCCCTAACACCTCCCCCCTTACAACAACATCCCCTAACACCTCCTCCCTTACAGCAACATCCCCTAACACCTCCCTCTTACAACAACATCCCCTAACACCTCCCCCTTACAGCAACATCCCCTAACACCTCCTTCCTTACAGCAACATCCCCTAAAACCTCCCCCCCTTACAGCAACGTCCCCTAACACCTCCCCCCTTACAGCAACATCCCCTAACACCTCCCTCCTTACAGCAACATCCCCTAACACCTCCCCCTCCTTGCAGCAAATTTTTCATGTGAAGGAAACCGCATATAAATGGTAGTTGTAACAATATCGTGTAATAAGTCAGCGCTTGATGCTTATGTGAAAAACTAAAAATAAAATATAAAGAGCCGGTGATTGATCAATTTTACATTAGCCTAAGAAATTTATACCGATCGCTATATTTTATTTACAAAATCCAATAGTTATAATTGTAAGAATCCTCGTTCTGAAACTCCGGTAATTTTTTCGCAGAATAATTTTAATTAAATCCTCGTGGGTTTAATACATATTCATTAATTCAAATATCAAATACAAAATATTCTAGAATTATATTTATATTATATTCCTATATTACAAAATAATTTTAAAAAGCTAAATAATTGGGTATAATTATAATAATCTGTTTATGAATATTTACAGCCCAGCGTTCTTGGCGAATGTATCGGACGCCCAATACTACAAATGCGCGATCAATTTGGTCGCACATTTGTGGGGAATTTGGGGGAAAAAAATTCCCCAAATTTTCTTGACCGAAAAATTTTCCCCAACTGTGGGGGAAAATCCCGAGAATTTTTCCCAGATTTACGTGGCAAAAATATGTAGTGGTGCCGGTGGGGGTTGCGTGGGGGGGGTTGCGTGGTGGGGGTTGCGTGGTGGGGTTAGTACATTTAAATTTGTGTTATAATGCACAGAGAGTTATAATGCCGTGACTTATGCCTATCGTAATTTATAATGAAGTTACTATTATCAAAGAATTCTATTGCTCAGAGTGATTTAATATTGTGATTTCTACAGAAGCAGAATTTGAATACGTATTCTGTTTGCAAGCGAGTTCTAAGACCGTGACTTATATCTATCAGTAACAAATAATGGTGACAAAATTTAAATTGTTTTAATTAATTAAGTAATTTGGAAAGGACGCACAATTTAAATTATTTTTCTAATGCCTAGGGAGTTCTATTACTGGGACTTATATCTTTCAGTAACCGGTAACGGAGTTACCATTTAAATCATTAGTTACCATTAAAATTATTAGTTACAATTTAAATGATTAGTTACCAATTAAATTATTAGTTACCATTTAAATTATTAGTTGCCATTTAAATTATTAGTTACCAATTGATTTATTAGTTTCCATTTAAATTATTAGTTACCAATAAAATAATTAGTTACCGTTTAAATTATTAGTTACCATTAAAATTATTAGTTACCATTTAAATGATAAATTAATAATTAAATTATTAGTTATCATTTAAATTATTAGTTGCCATATAAATTATTAGTTACCAATTAGATTATTAGTTACCATTAAAATTATTAGTTGCCATTTAAATGATTAGTTGCCCATTTAAATTATTAGTTACCATTTAAATCATTAGTTACCAATTAAATTATTAGTTACCATTTAAATTATTGGTTACCATTTACATTATTAATTACCATCTAAATTATTATTCTATTACCCAGAGAGTTTTATTACTGGGACTCGTACTGGACAATAGACGGACTGCTGCTGAGCGAGATGACGACCACAGTGAAGGGGATGCTGGAGAACTTCCTCCACATGGTCGCTCAGTTCGGCATGGTACCTAACGGGGGGCGGGTGTACTATACCAGACGCAGCCAACCCCCATACCTCATACCTATGATCAAGGAATATGTCGACTACACCAATGACACCCAGTTTGTCAGGTTGGTGGTGCTGGTAATATATTATGTTATTTATTGGTGTAGGATATGTTAAGTTAGTTATTGGTATAGGATATGTTACGTTAGTTATTGTACTATTATACCAGACGCAGCAAACCTCCATACCTCATACCCATGATCAAGGAATATGTCGACTACACCAACGACACTAGCTTTGTCAGGTTGGTGGAGCTGGTATAGGATATGTTATTGTACTATTATACCAGACGCAGCCAGCCTCCATACCTCATACCTATGATCAAGGAATATGTCGACTACACCAATGACACCAGCTTTGTCAGGTTCGTGGTGCTAGTATAGGTTATTTTAAGTTATTTATTGCACTATTATACCAGATGCAGCCAACCTCCATACCTCATACCTATGATCAAGGAATATGTCGACTACACCAACGACACCCAGTTTGTTAGGTATGCTGGTATAGGGTATATTATGTTGGCTATTATACTATTATACCAGACGCAGCCAACCACCATACCTCATACCTATGATCAAGGAATATGTCGACTACACCAACGACACCCAGTTTGTCAGGTTGGTGGTATAGGGTATATTAAGTTAGCTATTGTACTATTATACCAGACGCAGCCAACCTCCATACCTCATACCTATGATCAAGGAATATGTCGACTACACCAATGACACAAACTTCGTCAGGTATGCTGGTATAGGGTATATTAAGTTGGTTATTGGTATATTGGTATAGGATATGTTAGTTATTGTACTATTATACCAGACGCAGCCAACCTCCATACCTCATACCTATGATCAAGGAATATGTCGATTACACCAACGACACAAACTTCGTCAGGTTGGTGGAGCTGGTATAGGATATATTATGTTATTTATTGGTGTAGGATATGTTTAGTTAGTTATTGTACTATTATACAAGACGCAGCCAGTTAAAATACCTCATACCTATGATCAAGAAATATGTGGATTACACCAACGACACAAACTTTGTCAGGTTTGTTTTGCTGATAGATATAGAGTTAGTTTTTTTGAGTAATTCATGTTATTTTGGGCTAAAAAATGCTAGTGTTTTATACCTCAATTTAAATGCTTTCAATGAATAAAAGCCAATATATTGTTGCTTTGTCTTAACATTAATAGTCAATGGAAAAGCCTCCGTTGCCTATTTATTGTGAAATACCCTTGTTTTATGTCTTATCCAACCAGTTTTATTCATTGAAAACCGCTTCATTGTAAAATTATTCATTGTAAAATTATTCATTGTAAAAGCATTCACTGTAAAATTATTCACTGTAAAATTATTCACTGTAAAATTATTCATTGTAAAACGTCCATTTTCAGGGACAACATCGGGCTGATGGAAAAAGAGTTCAACTTTTGGTTCAACAACCGCACCACGGAGATAAAGTTGAACGGTTCACTCAACTCCTATAAGGTTGCCCTCTACAACTCCCAGGTCGACGAACCAAGACCTGAGTCTTACAGGTGACCTAACTTCTGATTTAAATATGTTTTCCTCAATATTTTTGTCGTAATTTTGGAAAATATTGAAATAATTCTCTAATCACGCAGAGAAATGTATGGGTCGGTTTCCAAATATCGATGTACTTCTTGAGCCTACTGAATATTTTCGTCACAATTTTGGGAAATATGGAAATAATTCTTTAATCACGCAGAGAAATAAGTGGGACTATTCAGAAATATCGATGCACTTCATGGGCCTATGGGTCATCCTATTTTAATTTGGCACGGTCAAAGTTCGTATCAGTGCTACGGCTAAATATGTGTCACTATTCGGAAAATGACCCATACATTTTTTATAATATATAGTGTATAGTGTAATTTATTATAATTTAATAATTATTGCATTTTTTAATGTATAGGCAACTATTGTAACTTAAGCCGGATTCTGTTAAGGAATGATTGCAAAAAAGATTGTTTTTCCAAATAATTACATGCAAGCTTCATAAGTAACAGGGTTAATTTTCAATGAATATGTGATTGAATTAGATACATTTTAAAAACCTCCGGATTTTTTTTTGAGATATATATTATACAGTTTATCATATATTTTCAGCATGTGCCATATTATCGCACCTATGAGATTTATTGGGCAATACTCTCTTAAATAAAAATTTGCCCATCCCAATAATATTGCAATATTATACTCAATAATAACGAAAATGTAATGAATAAACTTGTGCAATATCGTTCATTTTAGGCGGCGTTTTTGCAGCAATTTCACAATGGCCGCAAAATAAATTTAAGTTAGAGAAGGTAGAGGTTTTTCTAGAAGATAAAATTTTCATGTCGAACCCGACGACTGATTTTTAAATCTGATGACCGAGTTTTAAATCTTGTATAACACCGATTTTTAAATCTTATGTAAAACCTATTTTCAAATCTGAATGCTTATTTGTAAATATGATTACTAATTTTTAAATCTAAGCACTAATTTCATTAATTTCTGGAGTTCTAAAAGGTATATAAATTTGAAGGGAAGACTACGAAATGGCTCAACAGTTACCAGAGCAACAGCGCACGCAGCTCTACGTGGAGTTCAAATCCGGCGCGGAGAGCGGCTGGGACTACAGCAGCCGATGGTATAACAGCAACGGAACTAACAGAGGTAACTAGTGTAACTAGTCTAGGTATTTATTGTAACTAGTCTAGGTATTTATTGTAACTAGTCTAGGTAACTAGTGTAACTAGTCTAGGTGACCAATGTAACTAGGCTAGGTAACTAGTGTAACTAGTCTAGGTAACTGTTGTAACTGGTGTAACTAATCTAGGTAACTAGTGTAACTAGTCTAGGTATTTATTGTAACTAGTCTAGGTAACTAGTGTAACTAGTCTAGGTAACTAGTGTGACTAGTCTAGGTAACTAGTGTGACTAGTCTAGGTAACTAGTGTAACTAGTCTAGGAAACTAGTGTAACTAGTCTAGGTAACTATTGTAACAAGTCTAGGTGTAATTAGTGTAACTAGTCTAGGTAACTAGTCTAGGTAACTGTTGTAACTAGTCTAGGTAACTATTGTAACTAGTCTAGGCAACTATTGTAACTAGTCTAGGTAACTAGTGTAACTAGTCTAGGTAACAGTTGTAACTAGTCTAGGTAACAGTTGTAACTAATCGAGGTAACTAATGTAACTAGTCTAGGTAACCATGGTAACTAGTCTCGTTACCTTTTGTAGCTAGTAACAACGGAACCAACTGAGGTAACCATTGTAACTGACCACATTAATGGTGTTGTGAGTTATTGTATTATTGTATTAGTATAATTAGTTAAACAGCTAGAAGATTTTTATCTATAACATCAGTCAGGTATCCGTTTTTACATCAATGAAGTGAAAATGAACTTACTCATAAACCTGTTGTGTATTTAATGCTCGTGACATGGGCATGTATTTATAGGACATAGTTATAAAAATTATCCATTAGATATCTTCATAATGGTTTTTAAAACTTTAGCTACAACAGTTAATGCAGTTATGACAGTTAATAACCGTTATGAAGTGAATAATAATAACAGTAATAAATTAAATAAAAATAACATTTATGAATTGAACTACAATAACAGTTGAATAATAACAGTAGTGGATTGAATAATAATAACAATTATGAATTTAATTATAATAACAGTTAAGTAATAACAGCTATGATTTGAATATTACTAACAGTTGAATAACAACAATAATGAATTAAATAATAATTACAGTTGTGAATTGTAATTTTTCACCCTCAGGTACCCTGAAGAACCTACAAGTGACGTCAATAGCGCCTGTAGACCTGAACAGCCTGCTGTGCTACAACGCTAAGATCCTCGCTGGATATCACAAGCTGCTCGGCAACCTGGCCAAGGCTGTGCACTACGAAAACATCCATGAGAATATTGTAAGGACGATCGAGGAGGTTTTCTGGGATGAGGAGGACGGTATTTGGTATGACTTCGACATCAAGGCTATGAAACGTCGCAGGTATGATGTGGGGAAATATTAATTTTAGTAGTTAATAATTACGAAAACGTTCATGAGAATATTGTAAAGACGATCGAGGAGGTTTTCTGGGATGAGGAGGACGGTATTTGGTATGACTTCGACATCAAGGCTATGAAACGTCGCAGGTATGATGTGGGGAGATTCATAGTTAATAATTAATTAATTTGTAAATTACGTTAATAATTACTAGCTACTTAGTAGTTAATAATTACTTACTTTTAATAATAATAATAATTGAATAGTTGCACTAATTAACTAATTAAACAATTCTTTTATTTAGTTAATATAATAATTGTAATAATTAATTAATTAATTAATTACTTTTAATAATTATTTCATTAAATAATTTTATTACTTAATTACTTTTAATAATTATATTTAGTAATTAAAAGGTAGTTACTGCGGTTGGGGTGATAGCGGTTCAATTCCCTTCACCATTATTGAACTAATTAAATACACTCTGAAACATATATAAAAGGACTTGCTAGCCGAGAACTATAGGCTTCTAATGGGTTAGGACAGTGCAGTGCATTGATGTCTATTAATCCGATAAATCGTTAATTGTGTTCAAAATATTATATTATTAATCATGAAAATCTCGACAATTTCAACAAATGCTGAGGTGTTATTCATTTTCGTATACTTTTTATAAAGGTTTCTTACTTCTCTAATCTTTACAATCTTCGGGGTTCTTCTAGTTCTTAATCTCAAATCTTTATAATCTTCCCGGTTCTTTTATTTCTCTAAACTGTATAATCTTCGGAGGTTCTTCAACTTGCGTAATCTGTATAGTTTTCCTCCAGGTTATATATATTTAATTTGTATTATCTTTATTCATTTTCGTCTACTTTTCAAATCTGTATAATCTTCCGCCAGCTAGGTTCTCCTACTTGTCTAATCTGTATAATCTTCCTCCGGGTTCTTTTACTTGTCTAATCTCTATAATCTTCCTCCAGGTTCTCCTACTTGTCTAATCTCTATAATCTTCCTCCAGGTTCTTCTACTTGTCCAACGTTCACCCTCTCTGGTCGGGAAGTTATAACGCCTCTAACGCCGCTACCGTCACGGCGCGTGTCATCTCCTACCTGAAGAGTCAGAAAGTTCTTGACTATATTGGGTGAGTTGACAGTTATTGTATTGAAAAATTTATTGGGTGAGTTGACAGTTATTGTATTGAAAAATTTATTGGGTGAGTTGACAGTTATTGTATTGAAAAATTTATTGGGTGAGTTGACAGTTATTGTATTGAAAAATTTATTGGGTGAGTTGACAGTTATTGTATTGAAAAATTTATTGGGTGAGTTGACAGTTATTGTATTGAAAAATTTATTGGGTGAGTTGACAGTTATTGTATTGAAAAATTTATTGGGTGAGTTGACAGTTATTGAATTAAAAAATTTATTGGGTGAGTTGACAGTTATTGAATTAAAAAATGTATTGGGTGAGTTGACAGTTATTGTACTATAAAAATTTTAACGTTATTTATTTAAAATCTCTAAATTTAATTTTTATGAAAAAATTATGATAAAAGATTTTAATGTGCATTAAAATCTTTTATTAGTGTCTCCGATTGTGCATTATTGTGAAGAGTGAAATTTTCTATTTGAACGTGACATTGTGTTTGGTCGCTGCATAGGGTCGAATACCATATAATGAAAAAAATTTATAGAGATAATAGTTTATCAGGATACCTTTCAATAATACGACAATTTTATATAATTTGATTAATATATACCCATCCAGCTAAATAACATGCAAACCATGCAACGCGTATTTTTTAATACATGGAACCAGTATAAATAATATGGTGGTCCAGTGGTTAAAGTTCAGAGTACCAAGATTGACACAAAGAGGTGCGGGTTCGATCCCAGCTCTGTGCGCCAGTTTCTGGTCAGAATCGGCGAGGAGGCCGGGCGGTTAAGCTCGGCAGAATTGTAGCAGTGAGTTGCGCGTTCGATACCGCAACAAGCTGTGAATGTTCTGCAATGTTGAGAATCGGCGACAGGCCTACGGCCTAATTAACGCTGAAACCGCTATATTATTAGCGCATTTTCTCATTTATGGAAAAAATGCCCTATTGTGCTCGTCATGTCCGCCTGTCCGTCTGTCCGTTTGTCTGTCCGTCTGTTTGTCCGTTTGTCTGTCCGTCTGTCTGTCCGTCCGTTTGTCCGTTCGTTTGTCCGTCCGTTTGTCTGTCCGTTTGTCTGTCCGTTTGTCTGTCCGTTTGTCTGTCCGTCTGTCTGTCCGTCCGTGACTCCACGTTTTCGTCGACGAGAAAATACGCTCTCTATCACTCACTGCAGTGAGTACTGAGTTATATTATTATATTATCAATTGAATATTTCACAATTATAGAGGTGTTCCTAACTAATTCAATATTTCACAATTACAGAGGTGATCCTAATTGAATATATAACAATTACAGAGGTCTTCCTAACTAATTGAAAATTTCAAAATTACAGAGGTGTTTCTAAATAACTGGAAATTTCACAATTACAGAGGTCTTCCTAACTAATTCAAAATTTCAAAATTACAGAGGTGTTCCTAATTAAATATTTCACAACTACAGAGGTGCTCCTAACTAATTGTATATTTCACAATTACAGAGGGGTTCCTAATTAATTGAAAATTTCACAATTACAGAGGTGTTTTTAACTGTTGTTTGATTGCGTAAAGTCGTTGTTTGATTGCGTAAAGTCGTTGTTTGATTGCATAAAGTCGTTGTTTGATTGCGTAAAGTCGTTGTTTGATTACGTAAAGTCATTGGTTGATTGAGTAAATTCGTTGTTTAATTGCGTGAAGTCGCAAGCGGATACCATACAATTTTGCGCCCTTGGGAATCGAGAAAAATTAATTTTTTTAAAATCATATTTTCATTGCGAAAGAAATATGATATTAAATTGATGTTAACGTGGGAGCTTCCTCATAATCTATCATCAAGATGGAGCCTAACAAACTATTAGGAATGTGTATTCTTTTGGCAAACGAATTCCTATGAGTATACATGTACATATAATTTCATTTATAATGAAATCGACGATAGCTTATTTCCATGTGGCTAAAGTTTGCTATCCTTATCGCATCATCGACATTTTTGATCTTTGAACTAGCAAGGGTTCATTAAAATTGAATCTGAACTGATGTTTTCGAATCAATTGAATTTAGAATGAAGATAGATCAATAAATAACCATACAACGACGGGGTACAGGAATGACATGACAATTTTGGTGTAAAGATATAACATTTTTATTAATTTCCAGTATTAAATATTAACTTATTACTAGAAATGCAGGCAGAAGATGGGAGGTCTTTACCCACTTCCTATATACATGCAATAGCTATCGAAGGTTTATAATATATCTTTATTCTATTGCAATAAAACCAGTTTCTGCGTGTTTTGACGAGGCGTTTGTTTTGGATGGAGATACGTGAACTAGTGCAGGATTTATCAGTTTAATTTGTATATAAACTTCGTTTATGAGAGTCAAACGCATTATCATATACGAATAATTAAATAGATGATAGTTATTTCATACATACTATTTAGGCAAGAACTAGGAAACTGGTTTGCTCATTCAATTATATTCCTGGTGATGGTTAATTCTAGAAGGAATTTTTCTTACTAGCAGCAGATTCTGGCCAAATGTCAGCTTGGCTAAAAGATGGAGGTTGATCAAAATGAAGTTACATCATTGAAATAATATTTTATTACAAACACGATAAACATTTGAAACTTCGTCATTGGGATGTTTGGGTCACACGAAACATACACGGTGGATGATTAGATTGTTAAACTACACTTCTACATTGTCCGTAGTATATGTTTGGTTCATACTTAACCTCTGGCTAGGATGCTTGATTCATACGAAACATTTGCCTAGGATGTTTGGTTATTACGGAACCTTTAGCTGGGATGTTTGGTTCATACAGAACATTTGCCTAGGATATTTGGTTCATAAGGAACTTCTGCCTAGAATATTTGGCTTATACGGAACCTCTGCCGTGGATGTTTGGTTCAATTGGCTCCACTAAAATAGGTTACAACACGTGATTTTATCCACCACGTGTCAACATAGCGTAGTAATCAATATACCATTGCAGATTTCAATGCTAGGTTAACACAGTGAGTTGCTTTGATGGGTTAGATAATAAGTGACAATAATGTTTTAACGTAACTGATTACCGATAAAAGGATGAAGGTGGGATTTCTAGGTTTAAAATCAGGGCCTTTACCTTCAAAAAGTTATGAGATCGTAAGTTCATCAGCCAATAATTGACGGCCTTTCGAGCAAAATCCACCAATCAAAGACAAGAAAATAGAGTGTAAGTACTTACGTTCACTTAGCAAGTTTTGAAGGTATGGTCCCTGTTTTCTTCAGTACAACGTGAATCTGGTTGGCGCTCCTGGAGGGGGTGGGGAATACGACGTCCAACTTGGCTTCGGATGGACCAACGGCGTGGCCCTCCGGTTCTTGAATGACTTCGGCGACCGACTAACGTCCCCACCGGACGATGGAGTTGATACTTCCGGAGCTCCGGCCGTTGATACAAGGTCTTCTTGGGGGATTGCGGTTTTGGTTTCAACGTTCATCAACGCACGTCTGTTTCGTTGATGTAGTCATGGTCTTGTCGCATATCGTCATGACGGATCGCATTAGATGTTTTGGATAGATGTTTATTAATGCAGGTCTGTTACGTTTATGTCTTTAAGACATTAAGATCTTAAGACCTTAAGACGGTTAAGTCACGGTTTAGTCGGATGTCGTCATGACGGATCACATTAGATTTTTTGGGATAGACGTTCATTATGCACGTCTGTTTCGTCGATTAAGAAACGGTCATGGTGCACGTTGTCCCGAAGGGATCGCATTGACAGTTTTACTTTTGACTTTCATCAACCCTCTTTTGTTCCGTTGATGTGATAGATTTTGTCTGCAGGAGGTTATTTTGCTTCCTTGGTTTGCAGTGTTTCAATGGATGGAGGTCTGTTCCGTTGCCGAGAAAGAGAGGGGTGTTGTAATTGCAACGTTTATCCAACTTTTCATGTAGGTTTTATTTGTCTTATGCACTTGCCTACAATCACAACTTAAATCTTCGTGATCGACGGAGTTGTTTTTATTATTTAGCCGATTTATTGCGTATCGAAGGGGGCCATCTTCTTCTTTTAAACTAATGATGGTCTATTTTTTTCTCCTAGAGATGGTCAATCTTTCTCTAATCGAGATGGTCTAGACTGCTGGTCTAGACATATCTTTATCTTTTCGAGATGGTCTATCTTCATCTTCTCGAGATGGTCTATCTTCATCTTCTCGCGATGGTCTATCTTCATCTTGTCGTGATGATCTATCTTCATCTTTTCGTGATGGTCTATCTTCATGTTCTCGAGATGGTCTTTCTTCAGCTTTTTGAGATGGTCTATTTTCATCTTTGCGAGATGGTCTATCTTCATCTTCTCGCGTAACGGTAGAACGGTAGAGCAGTCTGATTTCACCATTATTTTAGTTCATCACGCATATGCCACTAGACATCGTTTCATTCGCTCGTTATTCGTCAAGGTTTTAGTGCCATGAAAGTTTATTAGCAACCTGGAGTTTTTTTAATTCCAATGCTCTTCTATTGATAGAAATTGTTTATTTTGTATCGCAAATCCAATGAGATTGGAGCGATTAACAGCGTTTTAGCCAGAAAAATTAACTGCCCTATCAGTTTTTTGATTTCGGTAGTAATAGCATCATAACTTGTTCGGAATTTCTTATAGCAAATAGTTCAGCTCTGGAAACATATTGTTTTCTATTATTGTCCTCAGCGATAAGATACAATGTTGTGAAAACTACCCTTAAAACTGAAAACCTACGGCAAATGTATAAATATTAATAATTCTTAATCTTCAAAGTATGTAGAAGAACGACTACTGTTCGCTGTGATAGTTTAAAGTTTCAAGATTGGACAAGAAAAAGATATTAAATTTGATTTAGTATTAGAATTAATACGTTGTTGATTGAAAATTTAAGCAGCAATAATATATTTGAGTGTTTACTGCTATGCAATATAAATATTAAAAGAACAGTCTGTTGGAAATTGTCTTAGATTTCGATTCCTTTGAATTGATTTTATCTAGAAATTTGTATCTAGTATCATGTCAACCCTTGAATCAAGTTCAAGTACTGTACTGTAAGAAAGGAATTGGGTGTGTTAAAAAAAATGATCGAATCGGTGGTCGACATGCTAATCTTAATGATTTAGATGCTATAGGCTTGAATTCCATTTAAATTATCTCCTCACTAGTGTCCAGACTTATTTAAACGCATAAAAGCACTCCTGGAACGCCATTTGTGGAACGGTAGTAGAGGTCCCATTGCATGCATTAATAGTCACGAAATTCACAAAAATCGGCGAGGACCAACTTGGCTACGACGACACCATCTTTATTGCGAATAGTTTCTGATTTGCGAGTGCCCAGTCACAAAAATGTACAGCAAATATTTGAAATATTGCTCCTAGAGTATTTTTGGTAATTTCAAGATAATTTTAATCCAAATACATAAATTTATATGAACGCAAACTGTCCGTAACTGACGCTCTCTGCACGCGGAAAAAAAGTAAAAAACAAATTAATGAAGTTGAAACTCGAAATAAATATATGGTTATTATGATAATTATTTACTATTTCCATAGTTACATAAATTATTAATCTATGCGCAGTAAATGCCTGTACCCATAGAATATATGAAGATATGTTATCGCTACATAAGATATTAAGGAATGCTTGCTAATTCAAGCAATTAATGTAAAATAATAACCTTGAAAAATCGAATATTTTCAGGTACGCATGAAGCATATAGCATATAGAAACCCACGAAGTTTGTTTGATTTTATTGGAAGTTTTTTTAATGTGATATTCATTTCGGGCTATGAAAATTTTCTTTTGAAAGCTATTGGATGCTATCCTCTACATATCAATGGAAGAAGAGGGCGGTAGATGCAATCATCTACATATCAATGGAAGAAGTGGGAGGTAGATGCAATCATCTACTTATCAATGGAAGAAGTGGGAGGTAGATGCAATCATCTACATATCAATGGAAGAAGTAGGCGTTAGATGCAATCATCTACATATCAATGGAAGAAGTAGGCGTTAGATGCAATCATCTACTTATCAATGGAAGAAGTGGGCGTTAGGTGCCAACCCATGTCAAGTATGCTATCATATAACAGGTACGCTATCCTATAACAAGTATGCTATCCTATAACAAGTATGCTATCCGTTAACAGCTATGCTATACGTTTACATGTATGCTACCCGTTAACAGCTATGCTATCATATGCTAGGTATGCTGTCCTGTAACAGGTGTGCTATCTGTTAACAGTTATGTTATCTGTTAACAGTTATGCTATCCTATTCTAGGTATGCTATTTTATAACAGATATGATATTCTATGCCAAGTATGCCATCCTAAGCCACGTGAGCTGAAACTGTAGTGAATGTTTATTACATTCACGACAGTTTAAGCTCAATTGTTGTTTTTAAACTGTAGGAGCAATCAATTGTTAGAAACATAAACATTAAATTTTCTCAGTAGACCAAGAGTTGACTAACTTATTAACAAGTTCAACCAAATGCAGAATAATACTTACAAAATATAGGGAAACATCGCCTGTTAATCGCCGATCGAACGGTGTGTGTTAATCCGTTCAAGTTCTAATATCAATAAATCTAGGTTGTTAGTAGTAATAAATAGCAATAATAAATCTTCTAATAGCAATAAATCTAGGTTCTTAGTCAATCATTGTCTATTATATAGTAATAGATATTTTAAAATAATATGTAGGACAATAATTCAAGTATTTATTCGCCATGTCGTTATAAGCTAGAACTCGTTATAAGTGTTTCGTTAGCGACTGAATGAGTTAAGGTAGTTGGAGTTGGTTAATTATAACAATATTATGGTAAACTTTCGGACCTGCGCAGCAAATAGATAAACATGACAACTTATAGCCGAATTGTTTTCGAAGCGATGACGATTTTGAAAAAACATTTTTGAAAATTTTGTTTGAGAATATTCATCAAAAATTCAGAAATTGTGAAGTTTTTAATTTTTAATTGAAATAAAATATTTTCAACATGTTCAAGTGGAAACCTACTTAATACGTGAGTGCTAGTTAGAATATTGCATTTATACCTTTTCGGAATAATTTACAAAAGAGATTTGGCATCGAAATCATTTTCAAAAGGATTTGTTTCCGTAAACAGAAAAAGACAATGTAAAAACCTATGCAAAGTCTCCATATTAGGACTAAAAAACGTATTGCTTATCGAAAAATCTATTATTACGATGAAAAATTTTCTACAAAAGTTCGAAATACGAACTAATACGGGATTTTTTTTTTCGTAAACGAGAAAGACAATGTAAAAACCTATGCAAAGTCTAAATTTTGGGACTACAAAATTATTGCCTCTAAAAAGCGATTCTTATGAGGAAAAATTTTATCCGAAAGTTCGAAATACAAACTAATATGGAATTGATAAGACATTGTTATAAAATTTAATTGCACAAGTGTGTTCAAATTTAATGAATAAACAGACTACGTTTTCTACGGCGTGGTGCGACGAAAACAATCACTATCATTCGTGTTCATCATAGCAATAAATTTCTTATGATGTGCCAAATTAGAAAAGTATTAATATATCTAGCAATAAATTGTCTGATTTTCCGATATGAATTAATTTAAGCAAATGTTATCTTCTTTGACAATGAAAACCTAGGCATATAATCAATTTAAATTGTAATAACGATATAAATTAATAGTATACGTGTACCCAGAAACGATTATAGTTCATTCACTAAATGATGAATGAAAGTCAAAATTATTCCTGTTTCGAATGTACAAAACATGCAATTTTTCAGTTGAAAATCACCTCAACTCCATATTAATTTATTTGGATATATTCTGTATTGAAAAATCATTTAATTTGATATTTTATCGTCAACCTATTTTTCTTTAATTGGACGTGATACGTACATACCTCAAATAGTCCTTAAACTCATATTTTACTTGGCAGCTAATATAATTTACAAAGTAAATATTGTACTTTAAAATTAACATCATATTTTACAGATAATTTTAAGCCATATTACCTACTTCAACATAATTTTTTGGAAGTACGAATCACTACTAGTGCGTTTGATTCAATTTTGTGGCTGAATATTTCAACAAAAAATTCAATATTCATGTAATGTGATGCAAATTGAATGTATTGTCGAAATTATCAATGGCTCCAAAAACAATTTCATCGAATTTCTGTTCGTCCTCGAGAAAAAATCGTGTCTGAAATGCTCTTTTCTTCCTGCCTGTCCGCATCTGAATAATCGATACAAACACACGTACTAAATATGTAAGCAAAGTCAACACTGAAATTCCTTCAATGCTTCTCAAGCTTATGGTTGGAAATAGAACCGTTGTTATGCTACGGTCATCGACCATGTCTGGTTGTTTTTGTGGCAGTAGATCCGTTACATTTAATTTTGTTTCCGAGAAATTTGATTTAAATTTCGTTGAATCAATAATTTCCGTTGAATCAGTAGATTCCGTTGAATCAGTAGATTCCGTTGAATCAATATTTTTCGTTGAATAAATATTTTCTGTTGGATCAGTAAATTTCGATGAATCGGTTATTACTGTTTGGAATTTTGTTAGGATTGAGGATGCAGGATAAGTGGAATTTATTTCAAGATTAAAAGTGGGATTTGATTTAATTTTGCCGATTTTTGCATTTTCTGAGCTGAGGTTATTGTAGCTAAAAATATTATTACTCCAAATATTGCCGTTATTCTCCGGCTCAGTAGAGGCATTCTTGAGCGTCGAGTTCACAGGAGGAACTTTTTTGAGAAAATTTGGGTTGTCAACTTGGGATGAATATTGATAAATTCCATTAATTAGCAGTGACGGAATGTCAGGCATTTTATTTTCAACTTTTGATAAAGTTCCTGTAACGGCTGCTAAATAAAGAAGAAATATGAAATTTACTAAAATTCTCATTCTGGAAAAAAATTAAAGTCTATTGATATTATCATGGAGTTTCAATCTACTTAAGGAGTTTTAAATTATTATTTTACAGGTAGGAGCTAATTTTCAATTCAACTCGAGGAACCATTTTCTTTCCCATTTTGAATTGGATAGACGTTATTTTCTCTAGCCGTCAGATTCCTGATTGGAAGAAGTTGGATTCTGTTGTTGGATCTGTGGAAAAATAATTCTGAATTATAATTTTTTAATCATAGCATAATGACAACAACGTAAAGTGTTTCCAAACAATATTACAAAAATAATTTAATTATTGGATCGACAATGCACAGAAAACCCGACAAAATAGTTCTTTAATAGGTAAATCCCAAATTTATTTAGGAAATAATCAGATTCAATTCCAGAGCTGAGCCAACACACCTCCTCCAAAGAAGGCTGCCTTCTATTTTCATCAAGAAACCCCTTCAAAATATTTCGTTCATAAATAAATTAAATCTATTCAAGATAAATGTGATGATTGAGAGCGGCACCAACATACCTCCTCCTCCAAAGACGGGTGCCGGAGCACTGAAGACTCTGTCAGTAATCACCCGCAATTGTGAGTATCCAGGTTGATATTACGGTATCCAGGATTCAGTTCACCAGCTGCTGACATCAAATCGGCGGTGTAATTTGAAGGGTAACTAATAAATCATCTCGAAGGAATCAGAGCGTAAGCATGACCACCGCACGAGTCTACATTATTACGACTTACTGAGTGTTTCATAACAATAATGATAAAGTTATTTTATAATATAACTTATTAATTATTTATTTGCGCACATTTTCAGAAGCAAACTAGATATCGCTCTAAATACTTTCGAGTTATTCTGCACATTTTTATATCTGATTTCTGTATAATTATATTTTTTCTTATACTTTTTCTATTATAATCATATATTCTATTATTATTATATTTTTTATTGATTTCTCAACAATATGAAGTAAGACTTTAGAATTATTTGAAGGTGAAATCGATTAGTAAATAGTATCAGACAAATTTTTAGCTTTATCTGGTAATTTTTGCTTAAATTTTTGTTTTAGATATCTTAAAATAGATAATATTCGAGCTCAGGCTCAAATGCCGAACTAAAAAAATTTCATGCTTGTTCTGTTCACTTGCTGTTTCTTAACATATTCCTTATAGCTGGCTAATAATATGAATCCTAGATTAGGCCACAAAAATTTCAAAGTAATTTTAATCTTCTTTCATAATCTTTACTGAAAGGGGAATTTTTAGCCTGGTATTTTTTTACTTTACTTTAATTTTTTTACCTATCATTTAAGATTAAACAAATTCAAATGATCTATTTTTTTACTTTTCTTTGTTGCCATCATATGACCTCTTTTATTATGATCGATTTCGATTATTAAAACATTAATTTTAACAAATTATAGGCCATTCAATCCAAAATATTTGATAGTATTTTTTTTCAATTTTATTACAATTTTGTGACATGTCGGAATTGCACGAATTTTTTCCAAAGTTCGTGCGACATTTAAAAATAGAAGTAGTGTCATAAAAGTGTACCTAAAACGAAATATAATGAATTATACTGTAATCATTCTCAAAAATATATAATAAATATATTATCTTCTAAAATTAGAAATAGAACCGGTAGATAATCTGAAAAAAGAGATTAAAACTGGTCTTAAATTTCAATTCTCTGAAATATTTATCTTTCTCCCCGGAATCGGTCATTTTTTGAGTTAATTTTGTGAGGCACAAGTTTGAATTTCTCATTCAAACATAAGTATTCTGCGTAACATTTTGGCCCATTTTTTCATTCTTTCCTAGATTCTGCAGGAATTTTATGTCATATCTAGTATTTATTATTAGGAGTTATAAAATAAATTATAATATGCTCCGAAAATTTTCCACGACTATCAGTGTTGAGTAGAATGTGTAACGAAATTCATAAATATATAACCAGTTGAATATTTTTCTGTTACTAGTTCTAGGACTTCATCTTATAAGGAAGCGAATGTATTTATTGTTTCAGACAAAATATTTTATTTTTCTCATTAGTGAAGGATTGGATTTAATCTAAAAATAACGGTTAAAACGCATTCATGTAATCCCAGGCTTTTGAAAATATTTTTCTTGAGTTTAATGAAACTTTTCATTACATTTGTACGAAAGAAATCTCATTCTGTAGAAAATTTGTCAAGACGCTTCTCTATGGAATTCGATACGCTTTTAACGCTTTGACCACTTATCGTTCGTGTGCTGAATTAATGATATTGAGAATAGGATAATGAGCAAAATAATAGGCAACCTTATGCATTTACAGCAATTTACAATAACAATAGAAATCATTAATCTAAAATGCACTACACTTGAGAAAATATGTTAATTAAAAGACACAGCCTAATGCGGACACTCACGTACACTAATATTCTACTAATTTATTAATTGTCTACTGTAAGGCAGATAAATATAAATAAATGTTTCTAATTACTAAGAATATATTTAACAAAACCAAGGCAGCAAATGAAAATTTCATGTACGTAGAAAAATTTCATTAAAAATATTACGTTGACATATTGCAATATTTTCGAATATATACCAATTACTATAGAAGAGATCACTATAACCAATCTCATTACAATTTAATTGAATATTTGACAATAATAGATTAAATAATATTGGACATTGAATGAGACCGCAATATCCTAATATCTAAAAGTTTTTATTTTTCTTGATTTTGAAAGAATCAAAATACGATGAACGGGGGAATGAATTGTGCGAGATTTAATTTAGTTCTTATATCTTGAATAAAATTTAAAAAATTATCAATAATGAAAGAATATCAGTCCGCCTTATTTTAGATGATATCAACAAAAAACAAGAGCTTAGATTCATGTTAATGACCGAGGAAAATGTTTGACTTTTCCTGTTAAAAGAAAAAAATATGGAGCGGTCAAAGGCTGGGAGAAACTTTATGATGTAATTTATTTCATACTTCTAAATTCCTAAGTAAGTGATCTAGAAATTAAATAAAAATTCACAAAATACTCTCATTTAATTTATTTAGTTCTAATTTTACCATTGCCTAATCCCTGTAATCCATTAATCATGTCTTCCTGAGTATTTGGTTAAAAGGGGTTTCGTGAATTTGATTAAATTTATCAATATTTGTATGTAATATGTGTGTACGTTATATTCATGCAATAATAACACTACATCGTATCATGATTTAAACAAAACCGATAAAAAAGATTACCACTCCACGATTTTACACCATAAATTTTTTTTTAATTTCGACGGATGAATATTGAAATTTTTATCAAGAGAGTTCGGGTGAAATTTATTTTACTGCCGGTATACTGCTACTGAATATATCTTATTAAGTTGCAGTATTATATATTTATATATATACTACTGCTATATATATGCTATGTACTGCTACTATATATAGTATTATTATATATATTACATACTTATCTAGTGGATTAAAATTATATTTATTTACATAATACAATGAATTTAATTCTGATTTAATTATAAAATGATGATTGTAGTAAATGCATTAGAAGTAATATTTTCCTAATTATTTTAACCAAATTACAGGTTTCTGAGAATTTTTTTAATATTGAGAGAACCACTCATTACGATCGTTATGCGTCAATAGTGATATTTAAGACTTGTATCAACTAAAAATAATAATTCAAATCTGCATAACGAATGAGTGAAATACAAATGGAAATAACATGTGTGAAATGTCCATTGAACGCCTCAGAATTTCTGTTATTATAATTATGATTCATGTATACAAGTTTCAAAAATAACACTTTTTCTAAAATATGTTTTAAGATAAAAAACTAATGTTGACAGATCCCTCCCTATTAACATGATGATTATACATTTGGAAATAATGAAACAGTTAATTAACAAACTTAATTAAATAAGAAATAGTTGAAACTTTTTCCTATCATATAAAAATATTGTGACTTTAATTGAAAAATTTAGAAGCCCTACAGTATAAAAAGAAGATCGGAGTATTACACGGTAAAATCAACTTATTTATTACTACTTACCCTATATTGTGACGGCTTTAAATCCTCAACAATACTAATAAGAACTGAAGAAATGTTGTTCACATTATACATATAAAACAACATGTTTCATGCAGGTTTTTTGAAGACCAAGGAAAAATATCTGTAGGCATTCATGTTTTCTTCAATTTTCTGCACAAAGTATAAGTCGAGAAAATTGAGGAAAACAAATTAAAACTTTGCCCAAAAATGTCTCCTTGGTTTTCATTAAAAACATCTCATGCCAAATTATACAAATATACACGAGTTGAAGCTGATTTACTTCAATTTATCACGTCTAATGACACATTAATTAATTATTTATTTAATTAATTAATCTAATTACAATTTTTCTACCTCATGCCTACCTATTTCCATCTCAAATTAACAACAATTTTCAAAATGAGTTTGAATACACGAAAACTTTTTGAAATTTTGTTGAGTGTTAGTTTGGAATCAGCCAGCAATAGTAATAATGTGTGATTTAATATTTAAATGATACATGTTTAGTTAAATTGATAATTTTTTCCCCATTATTGAAAGTGCAAATTATTTATTTAGTCACGGCGAAAACTTGTCAACTAAGCCTCAAATACCATCATATATTGAATGATTATTATAAAAATCTAGAGCACTTTTTATTTCGAGAACTCATGACTTTTGATAAAATTCCATGCCGGAATTTCTTACTGTAACAATTTTTTCAGCTGTCGTGTTTAACGGCAGATGCGAAAAGTCGGTCAAAAATCTTGGGGCTTCTTCCGCCCTTTTCCGAAGCTTTATCTTCGTCAGGGACTGGCAGAACGTTGCTGTCTTTTGATTCTTTCCTGACGTGAGGCTCGGCGAATCTCGGAGCTATTTTTCTCAAAAAAGTGCAAGCGACGTGGTCAGCACTTCTGCGTAGGCGGAGGGTTGCTAGTGGTTTGTAGGCTGTAAAGAATGGGTAATTGTTAAAGGATTAAAAAAATGGGTCATAGTTAACGGATTAAAAAATGGGTCATAGGTAACGGATTAAAAAATGGGTCATGGTTAACTGATTCAAAAATGGGTTATAAATAACGGATTAAAGAAATGGGTCATAAGTAGCGAATTAAAAAATGGGTCATAGGTAACGGATTAAAAAATGGGTCATAGTAAACGGATTGAAAAATGGGACATAGTTAACGGATTCAGAAATGGGTCATAGGTAATGGATTAAAAAATGGGTCATAGTTAACGGATTAAAAAATGGGTCAGGGTTAGCGGATTAAAAAGTCAGGGTTAACGGATAAAAAAATGGGTCATGATTAACGGATTAAAAAATGGGTCATAGTAAACGGATTAAAAAATGGGTCATAGTTAACGGATTAAAAAATGGGTCATGGGTAACGGATTAGAAAAATGGGTCATAGGTAACGGATCAAAAAATATGTCATAGTTAACGGATTAAAAAATGGGTCATAGTTAGCGGATTAGAAAATGGGTCATAGGTAACGGATTAAAAAATGAGTCATAGTTAACGGATTCAAAAATGATGCGGGTTCAGTAGTTACTGAATTATGTAATTTAGAGATACAACAGCAAATAAACTCAGATCTCAGCCAAACAAAAGAAATATATTTATTTCACAACAGCGCAGTGATATTAATTATTTAAGTTATGTGGGTTCAGTCTTTGATATATTGAGTTACCAAAAAATAAGTACTGCTAATGAACTTGAATTTCTAAAAACTCGAGATACATGTTACATTATTCGCTGCTCAGTGACGTTAATAAATCTAGGCCTGGGGTTTTATTAGTTTCTGAATTACATACACTGCGTAATTGTAAATTAACTGGTTTTTCGAATCTGGTGGAGATCCAGGTTCATTTGCGGCAGTTATCCCTTAATTACATAATTAAGAAATAGTTAACCACATTTCTGAAATAAATACTGTCACTTCGTTGTTGTAAAATTACTTTTTCTACGTTTTTTGGGTGGATTCAAGTTTTATTTCGGCAATTAAACTCTAATTACGTAATTGCAAAACTACTAATCTAACATACATGCTATTATCACGGCATTTGCGCAATTGTAAAATTAACATCTCTCTCGAGTTTGGTTGAAATTCAATTTAATATGAAGCTTTTATCCAGCAATGACATTTTAACTCAACTAGATCCACATGTAGGAAGTTATTACAATTGTAAAATTAGCATATTTTGACTTACGCTAATATTTAAGTTATTTTGCAGAATTTTTAGATTAATTGCCTAATATAGTAACTACTAAACCCACAACGGTGAAAACATTACAGAAAATTTTTTAGGATGATGCTGTTGGTTTTCTTTTAGTGACAAGTTGTTTTTCGATCAGTTTCACTAGCCTTAGTTTGATATGTATGCTGTTATATATATTTAGTGACATTCTTTGGTCGGTTTTATCCAGTGGTCGTTCAATATGTTCAAGAATATGCGTTCAAGAACAGACTAGGTAAAGCTATTGAAAAATATATGTTCAGATTTGAAATGCCTAGCACCATATCGAACTCGGTGGAAGTCTAGTAGCTACTTCAAACTATCGTCAGTCATGAAAAGATATGGTCAAATGATACGATTTTAGATCTTCTGTGAACAAGGCTCGAAAAGGAAAAGAATCGGCGACAGGCCACATCAGGCCTACACTTCAGCGCCGACATCACTATGTTATGTTATGTTATGAACTGTCACTTTACATAACTTTATATTTCTTGATAGTTCACGTCATAAATGATACGCTCTTTCAATTTATATACAGACTTTTGTACGTGTAAAGCTCCATAAATTTTAACGACATTAAGAACTTAATTTAGTCATTCCTTATCATTATTTATTCATATATTGTCCTCATGCAGGAATGAAAATTAAAAAAAACGGTATTAATGATATTTTGTATCATATTTAGTCATGTTCTGTTTTCAAATAAAAAAATAGAAATGAACAATTTTTAGGAAAACTTGAATGGCGGATATAAAATAAAGATAAATTAAAAAATATTATCATAATACTATACAAATAAGAAAATAATAAATAACCTGTTAAGAAAGTGTTTTCTCATTACCTGCTTCGATGCCGGGACGTGTGAGCTTCAGTTGCTGTGTTTTTGGTTGACATGAAATAGCTTCACTCTCCACCACCACAACCCCAGCCAGAGGTACCACAGCCTCCCCAATGAAGGTGTTGGAGCGAGCCAAGTTGTGGTCCTTGAGGGTGAACAGCAGGTACCCTTCCCGCACGCTGTGGTCCTCAGCGCTCAACGTGCTGCGGGGAAATGAGATGGTTTGAGGTAACCTTTGAACGGGGAAATAAGATGGTTTGAGGTAACCTTTGAACGGGGAAATAAGATGGTTTGNGAGAAGGCTATCTTTGCCTTTTAGAGTAAGTTCACACCACACTGATTCTCTAGCTGATTGATGCTCTGCATATAACTTAACTTGCTGGGCCCCATAAGAGGTTCTAACCCACAGAGCTACACCTCTACTGCTGTCTCTTATACACATCTAGATGTGTATAAGAGACAGGGTTTGTGGTAGCTTTTGAACGGGGAAAAAAGATGGTTTGTGGTATCTTTTGAACGGGGAAATAAGATGGTTTGTGGTAGCTTTTGAACGGGGAAATAAGATGGTTTGAGATAGTTTTTGAGCAAGCTTTTTAAAAAAGCATTGGTAGCTTTTTAACTATTCAGCAAGGAAACAGAATAGTTTGGGGCTTACATTTTCAACGGGAAAAAATGATAGTGGATACTTTTCAATGATGAATTAGGAAATGTAATTGGAACCGCTCTACTGTATCACAAATCTACGTGAAAGAAAATATCATATAGTATATCTTTTTGATAAAAACATTTCACTTTATTGCATTAGCGACTCAATGTGGAAGAAATTGTCGTCTGGAATTCATGATATGGTAAAATATATCGCTTGGAAGAAAGTGCCATAATTCCCTAAGTGAAAGTTATAGGATGCAAGAAAGTTAGGATGAAAGAAAGTCTCATAACTCACTAAGTGAAAGTTATAGGATGAAAGAAAGTCTCATAACTCACTAAGTGACAGTTATAGGATGAAAGAAAGTTAGGATGAAAGAAAGTCTCATAACTCACTAAGTGAAAGTTATAGGATGAAAGAAAGTCTCATAACTCACTAAGTGACAGTTATAGGATGAAAGAAAGTTACGATGAAAGAAAGTCTCATAACTCACTAAGTGAAAGTTATTGCCTGAAAGAAAGTCCCAGAACTCACTAAGCAAAAGTTATAGGATTAAAGAAAGTTTGGATGAAAAAAGTCTCATATCTCACTAAGTGAAAGTTATAGGATGAAAGAAGTTAGGATGAAAGAAAGTCTCACATCTGAATTAGTGAAAGTTATAGGATAAAAGAAAGCTAGGATAAAAGAAAGTCCAATAACTCATTAATCGAAAGTTATTGTATAAAAGAAAGTCATATAACTCACTAAGTGAAAGTTTCTTGGAATATCGCCGGATCAGATCTTCTAAGCGAAAGTTATATGATGAAAGAAAGTCTCATGACTCACTAAGTGAAAGTTATTGTATAAAAGAAAGTCTCATGACTCACTAATTCAAAGTTATAATATAAAAGAAAGTCTCAACTCACTAAGTGAAAGTTTCTTGGAATATCGCGGGATCAGATCTCACTAAGTGAAAGTTGTTGTATAAAAGAAAGTCTCATAACTCCCCAAGTGAACGCTATAGAATGAAAGAAAGTCTCATAACATAACATAACATAACATAACATAGTGATGTCGGCGCTGAAGTGTAGGCCTGATGTGGCCTGTCGCCGATTCTTTTCCTTTTCGTGCCTTGTTCATAGAGATCTAAACTCGTATCATTTGATCGGATCTTTTCATGACTGGCGATAGTTTGAAGTAGCTACTAGACTTCCACCGGGTTCGATAAGGAGCTAGGCNTTTATCTTCCATAACTCACTAAGTGAAAGTTTCTTGGAATATCGCGGGATCAGATCTCACTAAGTGAAAGTTATTGCATAAAAGTTAATGTATTTATCTTCCATAACTCACTAAGTGAAAGTTTCTTGGAATATCGCGGGATCAGATCTCACTAAGTGAAAGTTATTGCATAAAAGTTAATGTATATATCTTCCATAACTCACTAAGTGAAAGTTTCTTGGAATATCGCGGGATCAGATCTCACTAAGTGAAAGTTATTGTATAAAAGAAAGTCTCATAACTCACCAAGTGAACGCTATAGAATGAAAAAAAGTCTCGTAACTCACTAAGTGAAAGTTATTGCATAAAAGTTATTGTATATATCTTCCATAACTCACTAAGTGAAAGTTATATGATGAAAGAAAGTCTCATGACTCACTAAGTGAAAGTTATTGTATAAAAGAAAGTCCTATTACTCACTAAGTAAAAGTTATTGCACGAAAGAAAGTCCCATAACTCACTAAGTGAAAGTTTCTTGGAATATCGCTGGATCAGATCTCTTCATAACCTTCGTGGTGTAAGTGACCGCGCCTGGGAAGAGGTCACTGGGTACGAGCTGAACTTTGACGTACGGGTCCACGGGCACGTGGGAGGGGCTGGTGGGGGCCTTCCCGTGACTGTTGCGGGACCCCTGGCTGGACGAGTCATCATCGGTCTGCATGTCACGGGACATCACCACCTCAACCACGAGCTTCGAGCTTCGGGTGAAAAACATCTGAAAATTCAGGATAATTCAGCTGGTTTAATAATATAATATAATTTACTAAATTAATATATTATGTAATAATATATTATATATATTATATTATTATTATTATATTATTATTGATGACAATTAATTAATATATAATATATGATGATAATGATAAAGAACATCTGAAAATTCAAGATAGTTCAGCTGGCTTGATAATATATTATAATTTAGTATATATAATATGCTAAATTAATATATATAGATAATAATGATGTAATGGGATGATGATAATTAAGTAATATATAATAAATGATTATAATAATATAATTTAGCCATTGAAATGAGAAAAATCTAATGATTTCATAAATGGCCTGTGGAAAGTCACAAATTAGACATGGTCACGAATGAAACAACGTCAATAACGAGGCATGGCTACGAATTAAACGTAATGGCTACGAATAAAACATGGTCATGAATAAGACATGGTCTCATATAAGAAATGGTCGCGGAAAAGACATGTTCACGAATAAGACATGATGACGAATAAAACATGGTCAAGATTTATAATACATGGTCACAACTCATACATGTCAATAAAAAGACATTGTCATGGATAAGATCTGGCCACGAATAAGGCATGGTCACGAATAAAACACAGTCACGAAAAAGATATGTCACAAAAAAGACATGGTCACGAATAAGATATAGTCACGAATAAGATATAGTCACGAATCTGACATGGCTAAAAACGAGACATGGTTACGAATAAGACATGGTCACGAAAAAGACATGTCACAAAAAAGACATAGTCACGAATCAGACATGGCTACATGGTCACGCATAAGCTATAACAACACAAACGGTCACTGACGTTGACGAAAAGGTCGCCCCGTGACGTGACCGACAGCAGCTGTCGCTCCTCGGCGCGCTCTTGGTAGTAGCGGCCGATGAGCTGAGACGTGGACAACCGCAGCGTCGACAGCAGCTCTAGCAGACTTGTGTACTCTGTGTTACGGGGGAAAATGTATTTATTATTAAAAAATGAGTGATTATTATGTTAAAAATGAGTATTTTAATGTTTGAGTATTGTAATGTATTGTAATGTCCATGTGAAGGATACTATACTTAATTATGCATGTTTGATTACTGGATAACCGCAGCATCGAGAGCAGCTCTAGGAGACTTGTGTAGTCTGTGTTATGGGGGAAAAAATGTATTTATTGTTAATAAAATGAGGGATTATTGTGTTTAAAATGAATATTGTAATATAAATGAGAGATACTATACTGATAACAGCAGCGTCGAGAGCAGCTCCAGCAGACTTGTGTAGTCTGTGTTATGGGGAAAAAGTATTTATTGTTAAAAAATAGTGAATTTAGTAAAAAAATTTGATATTGTATTGTATATGAGAGATACCGTACCATACTTAGTTATTTGTGTTTGAATAATTAATAATATATAATGGATGCTGGTATGTAACAGCAGCGTCGACAGCAGCTCTAGCAGACTTGTGTAGTCTATATTATGGGGGAAGAAGTGTAATTTATATTAATAAAAATTTGGTGATTATTATGTTTAAAATGAGTATTGTAATGCATGTGAAGGATACCATACTTTATTATTTGTTTTTAATTAACTAATAAAATATAATGTGTGACTGGTAGAAAACAGCAGCTCTAGTAGACTTGTATAGTCTGTGTTATGGGGGAAAATGTGTATTTACTGTTAAAAAATGAGGGATTATTGTGTTAAAATGAGTATTGTAATGCATGTGAAGGATACTATACTTAATTATGCATGTTTGATTACTAGATAACCGCAGCGTCGAGAGCAGCTCTAGGAGACTTGTGTAGTCTGTGTTATGGGGGAAAAATGTATTTATTGTTAATAAAATGAGGGATTATTGTGTTTAAAATGAATATTGTAATATAAATGAGAGATACTATACTGATAACAGCAGCGTCGAGAGCAGATCTTGTAGACTGTGTAGTCTATATTATCGGGAAAAAAGTGTAATTTATATTAATAAAAATTTAGTGATTATTATAATGAAAATGAGTATTTTAATGCATGTGAAGGATGCTATACTTAACTATTTGTATTTAATTGAGTAATAAAATATAATGTGTGGCTGGTAGATAGCAGCAGCGTCGAGAGCAGCTCTAGCAGACTTGTACAGTCTGTATTATGGGAAAAAAGTGTATTCATTGTTAAAAAAATGAGTGATTATAGTGTTTAAAATGAGTCTTGTAATTAGATTGTGACAAAAAAAATATAAATGAGTAATGTAATGCATGTGAAGGATAATATACTTAATTATTTGTGTTTGAAAAATTAAAAATAAATAGTGGTTGGCTATATATTGTACATATACACACCATCACTGATGGCCTCCTCCTGCTCTAGATATGCACACCATCAGTGATGGCCTCCTCCTGCTCTAGATATACACACCATCAGTGATGGCCTCCTGCTCTAGATATACACACCATCACTGATGGCCTCCTACACACCATCAGTGATGGCCTCCTCCTGCTCTAGATATACACACCATCAGTGATGGCCTCTTGCTCTAGATATACACACCATCAGTGATGGCCTCTTGCTCTAGATATACACACCATCAGTGATGGCCTCTTCCTGCTCTAGATATACACACCATCAGTGATGGCCTCCTCCTGCTCTAGGCCTCCTAGAGGCGTGAAGAAGAGCAGGCTGCTGCAGAGGACATCGTGGACCGCTTGGAAGAACTCCGGCTTACGGCGCTGTGGAGAACAAAATGTTATACTTCTATATAAGTTATAAGTATTTAATACTATAAGTAAATATTTATTATTATAAGTAGTATCTAATACTATGAGTATTAAAATGTTATAGTATTAGTATTTTATACTATAAAAAATACTACTAATAGTAATATTTTATATTATAATTATAAAAATATAACAATATATTATTCTTTTATATAAGTTAAGTATAAGTATTTAATACTATAAGTAAGTACTTATTGCTATAAGTAAGTATTTAATAATGTTATAAAGTTCATAACGTAATTGAGGTATAACAAAAATCCGAAAGAAATTTTCATGAAAAGGTCAACTTATAATGTTCTCAACAAAAAGTCGAATATTTTTCTAGTATATGCCAATAAATGGTAAATTTTCTGTAGCAAAAGAATAGAAAAATATACTGTACAATAAAAGTTATTATCTCTGACGAAAAACAATATAGAATTAGTGTGTATAGGAACCAAAAAAATAATTATTATTCTATAAAGCAATTATCATGGCGGTTTGTTCGACTGTATTTTGAGGTCATAGTGAGCAAAAAAAAAATGACATGAGGAAAAGAAAAGAAAAAAGGAGAAAAAATGACATTACAATGGATATTGGACCAACCTCTGAACTCCTAAGGATAAGCGTCCTGGAATGACATGAGAAAAATAAAAGAAGAAAAAAGGACATAATAGAGGATATAGGACCAACCTCAGCACTCCTAAGGACAAGAGTCCTGATGAGCTCGAGCAGACACCTCCAGAGGGCGAGTAGGAACCTCCTGAAGTTTGTATCCTGCAGGACCTCCCTCATGAGGGCCAGCCCGGGGTCCAGCACCTCCCCCAGCAGCAGCTCGGGCTTGTGGGCCTCACACGCGTCCGTGAGTCCGGCCAGTAGGATCCCGGACACCTGGAAATCGTTAGAATTATTGGAAGCCCAGATTAAATTGGATCCTGGACACCTGTTTTTTTTTTCTTTCAAATTTGCGGGGGCCTCTGAAGACCAGTCCAATGCGGCCCCACGACTGAGTTTTGAGTTATAATTGTTAATCACTTTAATTAATCACTTCGGTCACTTTAATTACTTTAATCAATCACTTTAATTAATTGGCTCTTTATCATTAATCTTTAAAATCCTGCCTAACTTAATCTGCCTGCCTGACTCGAACTCTCCCTAGCACCTGTTGAAGAGAACACTCCACGGTGAAGCCGCGGAACACGACAGGGCCGAGAAACAGAGCAGGTCCGCAAAAAATCTTTTGTAATAATAATATTATTCATGAAATCGAGGGTTTCAAGCAATGTCTTAATACTAAATTACTTAAAATGAAAATAATAAAAAAGAATATATATATAAAAAAATGAAGGAATCAACAGTAAGAAAGTTAATGAATAAAATAAAATTCCCAGCCCAGTTAGTTGCAATATCCATGCCCTGAACTGAGCCTCACATGAGTATGGGCTTTGGTCGAATTATTGGAATTCCGGAATTATTAGGATACCGGACACTGGGCAATTACTAGAATTATTGGAATCCGGAAATTGATAGGATCTGGATTTAGTAGGATCCCGGGCACCTGGAAATTGGTATAATTATTAGAATCCATGAATTAATAGGATTCTAAATTTAGTAGGAGCCTGGATCTAGTAAGATCCTGGATTTAGTGAGATTCTGGATTTAATAGGATCCTGTAATTAGTAGGATCTTGTATTAAGTAGGTTCTCGGACTTAGTTGGATCATGGTTTAGTAGATCTTGAATTTAATAAGATCTTGGAATTAATAGGATCCTAGATTTAGTAGGATCCTGGATTTTGTAGGATCCTGGATTTTGTAGGATCCTGGATTCAGTAAGATCATGGATTTAGTAGGACCCTGTATTAAGTAGAATCTCTGACTTAATTGGATCCCGGATTTAGTAGGATCCTGGATTAATGGGATCCTGGATTTGGTAGAATCCTAGAATTAGTAGAATCACGAAATTGGTAGAATTGGTATTTTAGAATTGAAATTCTTCAATTGTAATTCTAGAATTGGAATTCTTTAAACTAGTAGAATCCCGAAATCTTGGAATTAAACACACTGTATTCTTATTGTATTCTGGTGTACTCATTTAACTTTGGCATAAGACTATATGAGTGAATCTATAATAATAATTTATATTGGTTAATAATATATTACGTTTAACTTATATAGGAATACGTGACTAGGTGCATGCTAAAAATTTGTAACAACCTGACAGAAAGACCAAACGTAGCAACAAAAATGTGCTATATTTATATATATTTTAAAACAATAATCATCTTATCCTAATGTAACATTCAATATTTTACGTTATTATTGAACACTGTAATTTTAGTTACATTATAAAATTTGTGTTGTAGTTTTTGATTTATTAATTTTACTTAATGTGTTCGTATTACAAATAATATAATTAATTAAATTACAATTAATTTATATTCAATATTAAAAAATGTAAAGTAAATTTTTTGCTCTCTGTTCATTCCTTCAAGGTTTTTGATAATTTCTCATGTATAACATGAGTTAAATAAATACTTTACTTAGAACGTACTAGGATCAAAATTTTAGTTTTTCTAGGACGATTAACTGATGTGACCGTATCTATCAAACGCGACTGAAATGGCAATTCTATCGACCGGGCATAAAAAAACTACACTGTAAAAATTTTCAAATATCATATACGTTCTGCAAAATGCGTAAAATTTGAGAGTCAATTTGATCCGAATTAGAGAAAACGATAATTTTGATTTCAGTTTCCAGTTTTAATACGAAATTAAACAATGGAAAAGTAGTATAGTTAACGGAATATTGAGTTTAAGATGATTATTATTCTAAAAATGAAACAAATAGCTCTAAAGACGAAAATTTTTGACTCATGGGTTGTCAAAATTCATGTTTGCGTTCTCAATTTATTTTACGAACGGATTGAATCATCGAAATAATTTTATTTTAATTTTCACACTATCTCTAAATTTTTAACTCAGTGATAAGATTCGCACCACATCATTAGAGAAAAAGCAGTGCTATAATATTTGAAATAAATATTTTTATATCGCCAACTTCTATAAAATAAATTCGTATCAACTAATATTAATATTCACTTATATTTTAAACTATATCATATTGGTTTAATATCTTTAACTCTTATTCAACGCTCACCTTATCAACAACAGAATCAACAAACTCTGTAAGCTTAGTCTCCATATTTTCCATAGCGCTGGAAATAAGTCGCTGGAAAGTCCCTTTGAATTGTTCAGCGGCCGCTCTGTTTGCTTCAGAATTTGTTGAATCCGGAGTGCCTTTGCTGATGGTTTCTAATAAATCGGAAACTCGGAAGACTTCAGGCAGTTTGGCCACCTCATCCCGCACTCGTTCTATGTTGTTAAGACCAATGCAGATCTGAAAGTTAATAAGTTTCATTCATTTATCATTATCTTTTGAATTTGTAGAAGTATTTCGGGTAATTTAAGTAATTCGAAGCTGAATTATTTATTACGAAAGTTCTATTAATTTATTATTGAATTTTAAAACAAATATTAACAACATACCAACTTTTAACGACTTTTTAGCGAGTATTTAAGATAATTCAGTATTTCAGTAAGAGTATTTAAGTATTTAAGATAAGTATAAGTAGGAGTATTTCAGTATTTAAGATAATTAAGATTCAAGAATCAGATTGCAAGTTTGCGAAAAGAAATCGAAAATATTTCAGGAATTGATATCAAGACAGGGATAAAAAAGGGCATATCGAGGAAACTTTTGATGTTTATCGAGGGAACTTTTAATGTTCATCTAGGGAACTTTTGACGTATATCCAGGGAACTTTTGACGTATATCAAGTGAACTTTTAGCGTTTATCTAGGGAACTTTTAACATATATCTAGGGCAAAGATTACGCACCTGTTTGGTAATGAAGACTTTTCCCTCGCCCTGCTGCGCGACGTAAATCGAGTCAACTTTGTGCCGCAGCAGGTCGCAGTAATACGTCGCACAGCAGCACAAATCTTCTAATATTTTGCCCAGCAGAACACCGCTGTTCTGAGGGTCCGGCCACGCCAGCTCCAGCCACCAATTGCGAACCTGGATACAAGTTTAATATTATTATAAATAATAATTATATTATTATTTTTGTATATTAGTAGTATTCACTCGTATTTAATGGTAATTTTTTAAGTAAATATTTGCCATTTAATACTAATAATTATATTATTATTTATGTTATTTAAATAGTATTTACTCGTATTTTATGGTAATTTTAAAATATTTTTTCCTTTTAATATTAATAATTATATTAATATTTTCATTTTTGTAATAGTATTTACTCGTATTTTAAGATAATTTTTGAAAGAAATATTTTCCATTTAAGCACTTTCATGAGAAAAATGAATGTTCGCCGTTAAATGTCTTTTGAGAGTACAACAAACTTTTCAATTTAACAACGATCTTGAGGAAAATGAATGTTCTACAATCGAATATTTTCATGAACGTTTTCTATCTAATCACTTTCACGGAAACCACAAATTTTTCAAACAATCTCTGATATATAACAACGTAATGCTTATCGAAATACACACGCATCATAGCTTAAACAAATTGAAAATCTTCTTCCAAATTATGGATTAAATTATAAAACATTCACTGAATTCAAGTCGGTTTCGCATCCAGTTATCCATAGAGAATAAATTAACTTAAAATTAAATAATAATTGAAAAATTAGCCATCAAATCACCACCAGGAAAACAGTGGCTGCGTTAGTCGCCGTTAGTCACAATTTAGTCATTATCAATTCACCCCCCAGGATACCGTGACTGCGTTAGTCACCACAATCACCTCATATTCATCAATTAAAATAGTGATTGCGTTAGCCACCACAATCACCCAACACGCACCAATTAAAAGCGTAACTGTAAATTAACTACTATAAACTCACCCCTAAAAAGACCGTAAGTTCGTTAGTCACCACAATCACCTCATATTCAACAATTAAAACAGTAACTGTCTTAGTCACCACAATAAACTCACCCCCAAGAAGACGGTGACTGCGTCAGTAGCAGATGAACTAAAGTTGCAGTATTCATCACACGGCACGAGCTGGTCGGCAGTGACAGCGTTACTGATGATGCCGTGTATCCTGGTCTGAGCCACCTGCATCCAGTGCATCACGCCCTTGGAGAACCATCTGTGGTACTCACGCACCCCGGACTCGTTGCGCACCTCAGCTGGCATCGTAGAGCCCTGTCTGCGGGGGCGAGGGTGGGTGAAATGATTGGAAGGGGGAAAAAATGTGCGATTTCGGGGTAAAATGGGTGAAACGTGGGTGATCAGATAGTGTAAAATGGGTGAAAAGTCAGTAAACAGATGGTGTAAAATGGGCGAAAAGTGAGACAACAGATGGTGTAAAATGGGTGAAAATTGAGACAACAGAGGGTATAAAATAGGTGAAAAGTGAGTAAGCAGAGGGTTAAAAATGTGTGTAAAATGGGTGAAAAGTGAGTAAACAGATGGTGTAAAATGGACGAAAAGTGAGTAAAAATTCGGTGTAATATGAGTGAAAAATGGGTTAGCAGAGGGTGTAAATATAGTGAAAAGTGAGTAAACAGACGGTGTAAAATGGGTGAAAAGTGCGTAAACAGAGGGTGTAAAATGGGTGAAAAGTGAGAAAACAGATTTAAAAATGTGTGTGAAATGGGTGAAAAGTGAGTAAAAATTTGGTATTCTCTTATATGAGTGAAAAGTGGGTTAACAGAGGGTGTAAAATGGGTGAAAAATTAGTGACCAGAGGGTGTAAAATGGTAAAAAATGAGTAAACAGAGGGTGTAAAATGGGTGAAAAGTGGGTGTAAAATGAGTGAAATGTGAGTAAATAGATGGTGTAAAATGGGTTAAAAGTGAGTAAACAAAGGGTGTAAAATGGGTGAAAAGTGAGTAACAGAGGGTTAAAAATGTTTGTAAAATGGGTAAAAAATGAGTACCTACCGTATGCAGAGTGTTCAAAATGTGTGTTAAATGGGAGTATAAAGGTTGTAAAATTGCTATTGAATAGATGTAAAGTGGATGTAAAATTGGTATGGTAACAGTAAAGTGGGTGTAAAATTGGTATAGAATAGGTGTGAAATGGGTATAAAATTGGTGTAAAGTGTATTCCAAATGGGGGCAAAATGGGTTCAAAACTGAGTGTAAAGGGGATACAAAAATAAAAAGCATATCTACGTGATAAGTGCAAGCTGAATTTTTAATTGGAGCAAATGGAGGAGGAATGAGTGCTTAGATTGTGGAAATAGGCATGTTTTCGAGTACTATGGAAAAAAGGTACAAAAATATTTGAAATTTAGCGAAAAATATGTCTATGGTGGATGCAAGTATTGAAATGTGTTTGTGTATTTTATCTATTAATTTTAATATTCAATTTTATTATCTATTTTGATATTTAATGGTTACCTAAATATTAAAGTGATATCTCCACCGATAGAGTTTCTATCTGTTGTTCAATCTAACATTTTATAATTTACCGCAGAAAAAATGATATTTTATGGATTGAAAAAAATATTGATCCTCATTCCCTATCGCTATTATGCAAATTACTCAATATAAATTGTTTAATACGACCAATTTAAATGCTCAATATAAATTGTTTAATAAGACAAATTTAAAAACTCAATTTAAATTGTTTGATAGGACCTATTTAAATACTCAATGTAAATTTTTCGAGAGGACCTATTTAAATACTCCATATAAATTGTTTGATAGGACCTATTCTAATACTCAATATAAATGGTTTGATAGGACCAATTTACATACTCAATATAAATTGTTAGATAGGACCAATTTAAATACTCAATTTAATTTGTTTGGCAGCACCAATTTGAATACTATACTCAATATAAATTGTTTAAAAGGACTAATTCAATTTTAGAACATGAATATCGATACTTACTTGTGTATTCTACCAAGGTTGATGTATAGTTGCCAGAGGCTCGTACCAGCATTGAGCGCATAGTGGTTTTTAGCATCTGTTGGTACGTTTTTGTTGCCAGTGTCTTGACACTTGTTGCCGGCATGGTTGCTAAGTAGACGGCTGTAGACATTCATAAGTAGAGGCCGTACGCAGGGGTTCAGCTTCTTCGTGATGAACAGGTAGACTATACGTAGATAAGGTAGTCCAAAATCGCTGGAAAATTATGAACAAAATTTAAAATTTTGAATAAAATGAAAATTTTGAACAAAATGAAAGTTTGGAACAAATGAAAATTTTGAACATATGAAAATTTTGAACAAAATGAACATTTTTTATTTCAATAAAAAGTTCTGAAATAAAACTTTTGGTTAACATAAGCAAATTTAAAATTTGGGAAATAAAATTTTTTAATCGATAAGCGATCTTTCCGTATGGTTGAAAGGTTAAAAAATAATGGAGAAAGAGAGAAATAAAGGCTCTCTTAATAAAGGCTGAACTGTGACTAACTTGAAAAAGACTGGACTGTGACTCACTTGACAAAGACTGAACTGTGACTCACTTGACAAAGACTGGACTGTGACTCACTAGACAAAGACTGAACTGTGACTCACTTGACAATGACTGAACTGTGACTCACTTGACAAAGACTGAACTGTGACTCACTTTACAAAGACTGGACTGTGACGCACTTTACAGAGGCTGAAATGTGACTCATTTATTAAAGACTGCATTGTAACTCACTTGACAAAGACTGAACTGTGACTCACTTGACAAAGACTGAACTGTGATTCACTTGACAAAGACTAAACTGTGACTCACTTGACAAAGACTGAACTGTGACTCAATTGACAAAGACTGAACTGTTTACTCACTTGATAAAAACTGAACTGTTTACTCACTTTACAAAGACTGGACTGTGACGCACTTTACAGAGGCTGAAATGTGACTCACTTATTAAAGACTGCATTGTAACTCACTTGACAAAGACTGAACTGTGACTCACTTGACAAAGACTGAAATTGTTTACTCACTTGACAAAGACTGAACTGTGACTCACTTGACAATGACTGAACTGTGACTCACTTGACGAAGACTGGACTGTAGAGGGATGTTGCGAGTTCAATGAATGTGTAGCATTCATCAGTGATGTTGATAACGCGCAGAATTTGTTCATCAGGAGTCAAGCTGTCCTTGAGCTCACGCTCTAAGAGCGCTAGCCACCTAGAATAATATTGTTATATTAATATTATTTATTAAATATTATTATTATTTATTAAAACTTTTACTTAGTATCCATAATTTCAAATCTTAATTTAAAATGTCAAAATCACTTTCGTAAGAATATTATTGTGAGATTACAATTATTATTAGAGAATTACTACTATTATTGTAGAATTTGAATTGAAGATTTGATTCATAATTTCAAGTCCTAATTTAAATTGCCTAAATCACTTTCGTATGTATATTAATGTGAGATTAATATTATTATTAGAGAGTTTCTACTATTATTAGAGAATTTAACTTCGAGATTTGATTCATAATTTCAAGTCCTAATTTAAATTGTCAAAATCACTTTCGTATGTATATTAATGTGAGAATAATATTATTATTAGAAAATTTCTACTATTATTCGAGATTAAACTTCGAGATTTGAATTCACTTTTGTAAGAATATTAATACTTATACAATTATTCGAGAATTTAACTTCGAGATTTGAATTCATAATTTTAAGTTCTAATTAGAGTGGTCAAGATTAATTTGATTATTTGATTGAATTTGATTATTTAATTTCAACCGACCACTGCGACGTGTGTTTCTCGACGGCTTTCCTGACCATCTGCTCGACGTCAATTTTCCGGTCGACGAGAAACTCGGCGCTGAGGCGAGACTTGGACAGCAGGCGTAGGCCTCTGCGAGACAGTGGTTCAGGTCACAAATTACCGTCATTACTGCTAAATTACCCTCATAAAGTTACCCTAGTTACACCGAAATTACCCTCATAGCTTCTAAGTTACCCTCATTTCATCTAAGTTACCCACATAAAGTTACCCTCAATACGTCTAAGTTATCCTCATAAAGTTACCCTCATAAAGTTACCCTCATAATGTTACCCTCATAAAGTTACCCTCATAAAGTTACCCTCATGAAGTTACCCTCACGAAGTTACCCTCATAAAGTTACCCCTCATAAAGTTACCTTCATAAAGTTACCCTCATGAAGTTACTCTCACGAAGTTACCCTCATAAAGTTACCCCTCATAAAGTCACCCTCATAAACTTACTTTCATAAAGTAACCCTCATAAAGTTACCATCATCAAGTTACCCTCATAAAGTTAGCCTCATAAAGTTACCCTCATAAAGTAACCCTCATAAAGTTACCCTCGTAAAGTTACCCTCATAAAGTTCCCCCATAAAAATGTCCTCATTACATCTAAGTTACCCTCATAAAGTTACCCTCATTACATATAAGTTACCTTCATAAAGTTACCTTCATAACATCTAAGTTTCCCTCATAAAGATACTCTCATAAAGTTACCCCCATAAAGTTGTCCTCATTACATCTAAGTTACCCTCATAAAGTTACCCTAATAACATCTAAGTTTCCCCTCATAAAGTTACCCTTATAACATCTAAGTTACCGTCATAAAGTTACCCTCATTACATCTAAGTTAACCTCATAAGATTGCCCTCATAAAGTTACCCTTATAACATCTAAGTTACAGTCATAAAGTTACCCTCATTACATCTAAGTTAACCTCATAAGATTGCCCTCATTGAGTTACCCTCATTACATCTAAGTAAATGAAATAAATAAACCTTTTAGGACACCAAAAAATAACCAGATTGTTTGACAAAAATTAGTTAAGTATTGAAAGATACCATGAATTAAACCACACATAAATGATGACATAAATGATTGAAAATAAACTATAACTACAAAACCGAGTGTCCTCATTTGCCTTGTCGATCGCTTATGAAACTTTTGCTCTGACTTTTACTTTAAAACGGAATAAAAAAATGTTAAATATGATACCATGTAACTATCATACCATGTAATAATTAAGAGTGTCATTAACATCTAATTGGAGGAATAATTTAAATAGACAATATTATAGAAGTAATTACATATTGCTAAATTACTTATTATTAAATTAATATGCAATACTAGCTACCGTGTAGTGACTATATATATTTTCTATATAGGTTCTACATTTTATGTCATGCACTGGGAATATTAAATATTAATTAATTAATATGTAACAGTGGCACCGTGCAGTGATTAATGTACTGAGATTATTCACAATACTCAAGTTACCCTCGCAATACCCCGGTTGCCCTCGCAATATCCCAGTTACCCTCGCAATACCCCATTTACCCCCGAAATACCCCAGTTACCCTCACAATACCCCAGTTACCCTCACAATACCCCAGTTACCCTCGCAATACCCCAGTTACCCTCACAATACCCCAGCTACCCTCGCAATACCCCAGTTACCCCCGCAATACCCAGTTACCCCCGCAATACCCCAGTTACCCCCGCAATACCCCAGTTACCCTCGCAATACCCCAGTTACCCTCGCAATACCCCAGTTACCCCCGCAATACCCCGGTTACCCCCGCAATACTACAGTTACCCCCGCAATACCCCGGTTACCCTCGCAACACCCCAGTTACCCTCGCAATACCCGTTACCCTCGCAATACCCGTTACCCTCGCAATACCCGTTACCCTCGCAATACCCGTTACCCTCGCAATATCCCAGTTACCTGAGCAGGCCGCCCAGCTGATGTGCTGAAGTTACCCCTCGCTCTGCAGGGTAGTGGCTGTGCAGGCTGCAGAGTTTGTCCTCAGCGTGACTCATCCAAGCCAGCAGGGAGTCGTGGAGACTCTGCAGCTGGTCTGCAGTGAACTCGCTCTGTAGGGGCATGAAAAACGAGTTTAGTTGTGATTTAGTCACTTATAGTATATTTGTAGGGTAGAATTATAACACTTTATTTCTATAACTCGGAAATTACAGACTACAAAGAGAGTAGGTACATTTTTTCCGCAATTTGAAAATTACGAACTACAAAGACAGTAAATTATATTTCTACAACTCGGAAATCAGAAACTACAAAGGCAGAAAATTCTATTTCCATAACTCGGAAAGTACAAACGACAAAGGCGGTAAATTACATTTCTACAACTCAGAAATTACAAACTAAAAAGGCAGAAAATTTTATTTCTGCAACTCGAAAATTACAATTTACAAAGGCAGTAAATTCTATTTCTACAACTCGGAATTTACAAACAATAAAGGCAGTTTTATTCATATAAACCCCAAATTATATTTATATAAACCCCGATAGCTGTGTTTTATTTATATAACCACTAAATTATATACAATGGATAAAGAAAATGGCGTGACCTGGTCTGTGCTGAGGATGTTCTGTAGGACCTGCGACAGCCACACGCAGTCCACATTGCTGGTCCTACAGGCGGCGGTCCAGAGGGCCAGCAGCTTATGGTGCTCAGTGAGCCCTGCCATCAGCGCCATGATGTGCAGTGCACATACTCCCTCTGGAGGAAGCTGGCCACACCATGGAGCCCTCTGGAAGGTTAATTCATTTTATATATAATTTTGATAAAGGTGGAGGTAGGTTAACATAAATGAAATTGCAACATGGTGCCAAAGGCATCCACTCCCTCTGGAGGAAGCTGGCCGCACCATGGAGCTCTCTGGAAGGGTAATTAATTTTAAATATTACTATGAAAAAATCTAGGTAGGTTAAACATAAATGAAATTGCAACATGGTGCCACAGTCACCCTCTCCCTCTGGAGGCAGCTAGCAGTACCACGGCAACCGCACTGGAAAGATTATAATTTTAAATATAATTTTTAAAAACAAGAGTAAAGTAGATTAGTAATAAAGTAGGAGGAAGTACAAATAAAATAGCAACGTGAAATGCTGCTCATATTATCCCTTCAAGCTAGGGATTATTTGTTTAAAATATTATTAAAAGATAGTTATGCGTTAAAAATATATTTATCAAACGACATATTAAACAAATGTGTAAAAAACATCAATTAGCCCTTATACCGCCTCCATCTCATCCCATATTTGTTTTAAACGCGAGTTCAATGTCTTTTCAACGTGAAAATCTCATTCTTATTTTTACTTGGCACGTTTAAAGGGAATTTTACCAATACTAATGTGGCCTTTTTAGCGCATTTTCTCATTTATGGAAAAAAATCGCTATTGTGCTCGCCATGTCCGTCTGTCCGTCCGTCCGTCCGTCTGTCTGTCTGTCTGTCTGTCCGTCAGTGATTTCACGTTTTTGTCAACGAGAAAATGCGCTTTCTGTCACTCACTGCAGTGAGTACTGAGTTATATTTTTTAAACATTAACTAACTATAATAACATCTTTGTTAAGAAATATAACTTACATCAGGCACATTTTCAACGTAATGCAGGATGAACTTCACCAGCAGCGATTCGTAGGTTTTAATGGAGTAAACTTCAGATTTTTCAGCGCATCCAAAGGAAGCTGAAATTTTCAACTCTCCTCTTTGTTTGTGTGTTGAATTCGGACTGTGTCCTGAGTGGATAAGGGCGGCCCCTGTATTTTTCAAGTGTGTGAGTTGAGAAGTGAGGTTGAAAGTGTGACTAGAAGTTGAAGAAAGTTGGGTTCCACCAACTGATAAGTTGGAGTTAGACGATGACAAAGAGTTGGACGGGTTGGAGTCATCTTTCATGAGGGGATACCATTTCTCTAGTCCTGATTCCGGGATATCCTGTTGACGAAGGTTGAATTTAATATTTTATTCTTAATATAGTACCTATAATATTACACAAAATTTCAGGAGAAAATTTGTCTCTTCAAATTACGCGGAAAAATTACAATTTTAATATTACGCCAAAAATTACAATTTTAACATTACGCGAAAAATTACAATTTTAACATTACGCCAAAAATTACTATTTTAAAATTACGCAAAAATTACAATTTTAACATTACGCGAAAAATTACAATTTTAACATTAGGCAAAATTTGAGAAGGCAAAACTTTCTTAACGATTAGCCTAATTCACGATCAAAATTGCTATATAAATTTCGATTAATCTCTGCAATTGTTTTAATTTTTCTCTTATCTCCCCTCATCCCCCATCATCCCTCCTCTCCTCCTTCCCTCCCATACTCCTTCCCTCCCCTCCTCCTTCCCTCCCCTGATCCCCCATCATCTCTTCCCTCCCCCCATCCCCATCATCCCCCCCACCTTGAGGGGGAGCAGCACGCCCCCCAGCAGTAGGTGGTCGGGGGCGGTGCTGCCCTTCACGAGGCGCCCCAGCCCCTTCAGGTCCCTGATGTCCCGCACCACCCCCACCCCCAGGTGCTCGTGCTCGTGCCTGACGTGTAGGGGTGGAAAACAATACACATAATAGGTAATGTTTTATAGAAGAAATGAAAATGTGTAAGTTCACATTATAGGTAATGTTTTTCACATTATAGGTAATGTTTTTCACACTATACATGTTTTCTGGAATAAATTAAAAATGTGTAGGTTCACATTATAGGTAATGTTTTATAGAACAAATAAAAATGTGTAAGTTCACATTAGAGGTAATGTTTTATAGAACAAACAAAAAATGTGCAAGTTCACATCAAAGGTAATGTTTTATACAACAAATAAATATGTGTAAGTACACATTATAGGTACCGGTAATGTTTTATAGAACAAATGAAAATGTCTAAGTTCACTGACAATTGAAGTGAAAATTAATTGATAACGAAATTAAAACAAGTACAGGCAAACCACGCGCTTTTTAGTTGATGGTTGAAATCAGGAAATTTTTCTGGATGATTTCTAAAAATTCTGGAAAAATTTTAGGTGAAAATGGGAATATAAATAAAAAATCTATACCAGAATTCAAAGAAAAACACCACTAAACTTCTGGTTGAAGTTTCATCGAAAATCTGGAAATTGTTGAAGTCCACTGAGAATAAACGTAAAAATTAGTGAATACAACAATTTATAGCTGCAAACCATACAGTTTATTTCTCTGTAATCTTGAAATTTTTGAACTTCACTGAAAATAAAAATAGAAAAGAGCGTTCTTGGTAGAAATTTTAATTATATATAATATTTTCCGATATAATTTAAATAATATTCACCAACATGTCATACATGAATTAAGTTTAAAATATTTGATAAAATAATAACGAGAATTTTTATGAAAGTATTTGATAATAATTAATACATAAATATTTTATCCTCTATTGATACATTCATGTTTGACTTTCAAATTACCTTAAAACGTATTATAAACAACAAATTGAAACTCGGATCTTAGTTATTAAAAAATGTTTTACAATTTTAAAATTCACTTGATTATTTACAGTTTTCTCACTTACCAAACTTCGAGTTTCAGGACTTCTTTCTGGACGTCTTGGAATTTCCTGCAAATAAAAAGTGTTTGAATTATTCACAACACTGTCAAAAGTACGCAAAAAATTATTTTGTAAATGAAAAAATCACTTATTTGTAAAAACAGAGACAAACAAGAACCATTTCCGATTACCGCCATTACGTCTACATTAGTAGACGTAATTCGTAGACGTCGTAGTAGACTTAGTAGACATAAGTCCAATAGCATCACGCAGACATTTCTCTCACGCATCAGTGCCAATAATTCCCCTTAGGCACTTAAGACTTTTTATAATGCCTGACTTGATCCATTAGTGACCCACAAGCATTTTTGTTCCGCTAAATCCCCTCATTAAGTCCATAATTGGCTAACTAAAATTCATGTCCCGAAATAGAAACCACTCCAATTATTAAGGAACATTTAGGGAGTGGTCCATAATTGACTCATCAATTCCATAATTGACCCTCTAATATCCATGTCTCGAAATACAGACCACTCCCATTATTTATCACCAATTATAGGGAGTGGTCCATAGTTGACTCACTAATATCCGTGTCCCGAAATAGGGACCACTCCTATTGTTTATGAACATTTAGAGGGCCGAAATAGAGACCACTCCCATTATTTATTACCATTTAGGGAGTAAACCATTTATTCGTTAATTTATTTATAACATATTTATCTCATTAGACCGCCTATTTATCTAGTCCCCGGTCGCGGTCTCACATGTCAAAGCGCTGGTCCCACTTGGGACACCGGGTCTGGTGGAGGAGGCGGGTCCTGTGGCTGCTGTGGGACAGACTGGCCGTCACGTACGGGTTGGTCGATCCTGCAAGGATGGATTATTAATAATGAAGAAAAGTAGCAGGATAAATAGTTATGTAGGAAAGAAATAGGATAGATAATTATGTAGGAAAGTAACAGGATTAATAATTATGTAGGAAAGTAATAGGATAAATAATTGTGTAGAAAAGTAATTGGATAAATAATTACGTAGGAAAGTAACAGGAAAAATAATCATGTAGGAAATAACGGGATAAATAATTATGTAGGAGAGTAACAGGATAAATAATTATGTAGGAAAGGAACAGGATAAATAATTATGTAGAAAAGTAACAGGATAAATAAAGATGTAGGAAAGTAACGTGATAAATAATTATGTAGGAAAATAACAGGATAAATAATTATGTAGGAAAGTGACAGGAAAAAAATTATGTGAGAAAGTAACAGGATAAATAATAATGTAGGAAAATAACAGGATTAATAATAATGAAGGAAAGTAAGAAGAGAAATAATTATGTAGGAAAGTAATAGCAGCATGTCTGAGGGGTCTAAGCAGCATGTCTGAGGGGTCTAAGCAGCAGGTCTGAGGGGTCTAAGCAGCATGTCTGAGGGGTCTAAGCAGCAGGTCTGAAGGGTCTAAGCAGCATGTCTGAGGGGTCTAAGCAGCATATCTGAGGGGTCTAAGCAGCATGTCTGAGGGATCTAAGCAGCATGTCTGAAGGGTCTAAGCAGCATGTCTGAAGGGTCTATTGATGGTCTGATATACAAAGCCTTCTTTTAGCGTGGGCTGCGCTGAGGCTCATCTGAGGGGCGGGGTGGCTAAACAGGCACTCAGAAAAATAAAGCATCAAATTGTCCAAATATTGATGCACTCAAGTATATACTTATTTCGTATATATTGTATATACTTACTTACTTAAAAATTGTCTAAATAGTGATGCACTCACTTATATACTTATTACGTATATATTGTACATACTTACTTATATATTGTCTAAATATTGATGCACTCACTGAAAGTGGGACTAGTAAGCCCTTTTGTGGGGCCAAACTGAGTCAGGATGACCCACAAGGGGATAAAAATTAGATCATTATTTTGACAAAGTCCCACTCATTTATATGTTGTGTTAATTCTAATATAAGTTATTTAAAAAGTCTTATAATTTTGTTTATAATAAATAAAAAATTTTGTCTCGCCATTTAACCAATAAATTTTCTCATGCACTTAAATTTATTTGCAAGGATAAATAATTTTACTTATTTTCACTACTTGAGTATGAATATGACGGATGATAAAGTGAGATTTTATTATTAATACCTATTGCTTGAGTCCGTTCACTTGAAGCAGTATAATAATATCTCAATTATAAGGAAAAGGCGTCGAAAAGAGATGAAAAGGCGTCGAAAAGAGTTATAAAGGAGTTAAAGAGAGATATAAAGGCGTCAAAAAGATATATAAAGGCGTTAAAAAGAGATATTAAGGCGTCGAAAATATATATAAAGGCGTTAAAAAGAGATATAAAGGCGTCGAAATGAGATATAAAGACGTCGAAAAGAGATGAAAAGGCATCAAAAAGTGATGTAAATGCGGCAAAAAGAGTTTTAATGGCACCGAAAGGAGTTGCAAAGGCGTAAAAAGAGATGTAAAGGCGTTTAAAAGAGATATCAAGGCGTTAAAAAGAGATGCAAAGGCGCCGAAAAGAGATGTAGAGGCACCGAAAAGAGATGTAGAGGCGCCGAAAAGAGGTGTAAAGGCACCGAAAAGAGATGTAGAGGCACCGAAAAGAGATGTAGAGGCGCCGTAAAGAGGTGTAAAAGCGCCGAAAAGAGATGTAAAGGCGTTAAAAAGAGATATCAAGGCGTCAAAAAGAGATGTAAAGGCACCAAAAAGAGATGTAAAGGCACCGAAAAGAGAAGTAAAGGCACCGAAAAGAGATGTAAAGGCGCCAAAAAGAGATGTAAAGGCACCGAAAAGAGATGTAAAGGCGCCGAAAAGAGATGTAAAGGCGTCAAAAAGCAACGTAAAGGCGTCAAAAAGCGATGTAAAGGCGTCAGATAGCGATGTAAATGCGTCAAAAAGAGTTTTAAAGGCCCCGAAAAGCGATGTGAAAGCTTCAAAAAGCGATGTAAAGGCACCGAAAAAAGGTGCGAAGGCGTAAAAAGCAATGTAAATGCGTCAAAAAGAGTTTTAAAGATGCCGAAAAAAGATGCAAATGCCATGGGCGTTGGCAAGTAAGGGCGTTAATTAAAGAGCCTCTTTTCCTGGCCTCATATACTAACCTGAGACGCTCTTCATCTTGAGATCCTTCGCCTCGAGGATGTGGAGGCGGAGAACCACTTCTGGGGCCTGGGGGGGAGGGGGGTCAGTAATTTGTATTGATATATTTTGATTTATGAAAGTAATTATAAATATTGATCAAAGAAAATATTTGTGTTCATAATAATGTGTTCATAAATAACGTGATCTATTGCGAATGGGATAGGAGTCTTTTAAATAGACAATGAGTAACTTTAATGCAATAAGAACACTTTTAGAGCACTACCAGTCTTTTCATTGGAGTACAGTCTGTCTAATGGGGTGCCAGTATTCTAATGAGGTACCAGCCAGTTTAATGGGTACAGGTCTCTTTAATGAGGTACCAGCCAGTTTAATGGGTACCAGTCTCTTTAATGGGGTACCAGTCTTTTTAATGGGATACCGGTCTGTCTAATGGGGTGCCAGTATTCTAATGAGGTACCAACCAGTTTAATGGGGCACCAGTCTCTTTAATGGGGTACCAGCCTCTGTAATGGGGGTATCGGTCTCTTTAATAGGGTACCAGTCTTTCTAATGGGAGTGCAAGTATCTCTAAAGAATCTCTGGTCTGTCTAACGTGGAGCCAGTCTCTATAATGAAGTTACAAATCCCAGTGATCGTGTTTCCATTAAGTAGTTAGGTTAATGAGCTTCATTTATGTGAGCAAACGAGCACAAACATAGCGCCGACAGCGGCTCGTGTCTTGTAACAAACACACAAACATCGCGTGGGCAACTTGATGCATGAACACGATCCTCGTGCATCCTATAGGCATGTGTTTCTGATGTTTGGTGCAAACGGATCCAGGAACGAATTAAATTTTGAATTATATTTATTGGTGCTGACGCTAGATGTAAATGGATCTTCGCGGGTCCGGGAACGAATTGAATTTTGAATAAAATTTCAGGGTTTTGACGCTCTGTGCTAACGGATCCAGAAACGAATTAAATTTTGAATAAAATTGATTGGTGCTGACGCTCGGTGCAATTAAACGGATATTCGCGGGTCCGGGAACGAATCGAATTTTGAATAAAATTTCATGATTTTGACGCTCGGTGCAAACGGATCCAGAAAGGAATTACATTTTGAATAAAATTGCCTTGTGCTGACGCTCGGTGCAACTAAGCGGATCTTGGCGGGTCCGGGAACGCATTAAATTGGGAATAAAATTGCTTGATTTTGACTAACAGATCTCAGATCTAGAAATTCTAGGACGATTATATCCTATCACGTTTTAAGACGCTCGTTGCAAACGGAACTTCGCGGATCCAGGAAAGAATTAAATTTTGAATAAATTGCTTGGTTATGACGAAATGATCTCAGATCTAGGAAGATTAAATCTTATCACGATTTGTGACGCTACATATAAATGGATCTCTATAGATGCTAAAATAAAAAAAAATTAAATTTAATCCCGTTTTAAGACGCTCGGTGCAAACAGATCTTCGAGGGTCCAGATAGGACTTCAATTTTGAATAAATTGCTTGATTTTGACGAACAGATCTCGGATCTAGGAATTCTAGGAAGATTAAATCCTATCACGTTTTGTGACGCTAGATGTAAACGGATCTCCATAGATGCCAGAATAAAAAGGAGACTAAATTTAATCCAGTATTTCTGGCGCTTCGAGCAAACGGATCTTTAAGGTCCTGAAATGAATAACGTTTTAAATTAAATTGTGCGTTTGTTACGCTATAGGTGCAAACGGATCTTCCTGGATGCCTGAATATATAAATAATGAATCAAATTGCATGTTTGTGACGCGAGAAACAATTGCATTTCAAAATCAGGACCGAAACCAAGTGATATTTTGACACCAAATCAAGTTTGAGTTGAAGATTAAAGGAACGGAAATTTTTAGTTCAGTTAGAATTTTGGTCTGAAGTATATTAAATTCCCATCTAGGAAATAATTCTACGTACTTTAATCAACTCTGGAACGAGGAATTTGGTAATTTGATAATTAAAGTTCAATACTGAAATCTAAAAGCACGATGATAATTAAAAATAATCGAGTGATAAATACTAGAAAGTTTAACTTTGATACGAAGAAGCTAAGGTACAACCAAATTATTGAATATTTTTTGTAAATAGGAATGTATGATTAGTCGAGAAGATGCAACATGATTAAAAAAATACAAGGTTGAAGCTAAGTTCGACGATTGGTTGGAGTTTAATTCCAAGTTAAATAAATTTTAAGATTGGAAACGATAAATTCATTGTATGCATTGTTTCTATTTAGCTAAAGGTTAAAAAAATTATAATTATTGCTATCAGAAGAATCAGACCTTTTGAATAATTTAGAAATAGCCACTTTATTACCTGTCATCGCATTGTATTATTGCAATCATGATAAATGTTAATTTTTAAATATAATAAAAAAAATAATTCATCAATTCCATAATTTTTGCAATTATGGAATCGAAATTATTTATGCTTTATATTTTGCTGCTGCGTAACTGAAAAAGTTCCTATTAATATTTTATTTACATTACCAGTTAATTTGTATGAAATTTATAGAAAAAATGAAGTTCACAGATCACGGTGTTCTACTCAACAAATTAAGTGAATCGCGTGTAACTGACGTACTAAAATTGCAATTAAAAATACCTAGCTGCTTACATAAAAAAAATTTCCTAAACACTGCTTAGTGCTACAAAAATATTGATTAATAATTCAAAAATTATTAATAAAGATTTATGTTTAAAACTGGAATTTTTCGATGTGCTAGAAGTAACACCCAAGAGTTGCAGATTTTTCATACCTGCAGAATATATTTCTTTTCTACATGTTCTCACATATATGTTTATAAGTTCTGGTATATAAGTTTATATGTTCTCATATACACGCTTATGTCTTCTCATACATATGTTTATATGTTCTCATATATATGTTTCGCGATGCTAGCCACGAAATTTAGAATGAGCTGAATAAATTCATAATAAATAATAATTTTTTATGTCTATTTGACTAAATTCAAATTTCGTACGTACCTTCACAACCTGCGCATTTTTCAGGCATTCCTGCAGCGTTTCTTCATCGACGTCAAAAACTTTTTTCAGCTCTGCTAAAACGTCGGAAAATTTCACCTCCGTTGGTGACGTTGTTCCATTTTCCGCACTTTTTTCTCCTTCTGTTGAAATAAGTTGATTTTTTTCCTTATGATGAAAAAATTAATATTAATTAAAAAACTGAATGTTCTTACTAAATTTTTTGCGATTCAACAAAATAAAACTTTAATACTATATTCAAAAATGTATGAAAAAATATCTTTTAGAAATTAACGTTTTTTCCGACTTTATTTGGGTTCAAAGTAAATTTTCATATATAGATATGTTAAAATTTCCATGTGGTTACCCAATTACGGAAATTTATGTATGAAGTAATTTTATTTTTATGTACATTTTAAGGTTGAATTTATAGGAACATTAAAATCAGAGAATTTTAGTCAGAGAATATCTATAATTTCGTAATCCTTGGATTTTTTTTAATTTTTGGAATTCCTTTCATCATCAGAAGCTATGTTTATAAGCGGAGAAGTTCATCATCAATTTCCCCAAATTCATCATCAATTGTCCCCACATTAACCATTAATTTTACCCAAATTCATCCTCAATTTTCCCCAAATTTACCATTAATTTTACCCAAATTCAACATCAATTTCACCCAATTTCATCCTCAATTTTCCGCATATTTACCTTTAATTTACCAAATTCATCATTAGTTTCACTTAAATTCATCATTAATATAATCCAAATTAATCATCAATTTCACCTAAATTCATTATTAATTTCACCCAAAATTATATTCTCCCCTTCATCCATACAAACACCCAATACCCTCATTCTCAGTCCCTCATCACATCCGGCACTCGAAACATCATCCATCATCACAAGAACACTCATCACCACTCACCCTCTACCCCGCCGCCCGCCTCTCACCCGCCACCCCGCCGCCCGCCACTCACCCGCCACCCTGCTGCCCGCCACTCACCCTCACCCCGCCGTATCCATCATCACAAGAACACTCATCACCACTCACCCTCTACCCCGCCGCCCGCCTCTCACCCGCCACCCCGCCGCCCGCCACTCACCCGCCACCCCGCCGCCCGCCACTCACCCGCCACCCCGCTGCCCGCCACTCACCCGCCACCCCGCTGCCCGCCACTCACCCTCACCCCGCCGCCCGCCACTCACCCGCCACCCCACCGCCCGCCACTCACCCGCCATACCGACGATGCAGGTGGTGTGGAGCAGCCAGCTGGCGGCGGGCGTCTTGCCCGCCAGGTGGTGGACGCCACCCGCCACGTCCGCCAGCAGCGCCAGGCTCTGCCCGCCACAACCACACCAATGATTATTATATATTATAGAAAAATATATAATTATATACCTATACCTATACATATTAAATATTATAGATATTAATATAAAACACAAATTACACTCATTAAAAATATTGATTATGATAATACGGATTGATAAATAAATGCGGACGATATAATATAATTTTATACAATGTATAACACCTTTATATTTATATAATAATACAGGGTGTTTCAGAATTAAGTAACCCTTTTAATTTGTTAATAAATAAAAACTAAGAACGTTATGAAGTTGAAACTTGTTTTATTTAAAAGTATTTAAAAGATATTATATTTAAAAACTAGGATACAATATTACCATAAAAATGTTCTTCTTTTAAATAAAACAAGTTTCAACTTCATAACGTTCTTAGTTTTTTATTTATTAACAAATTAAAAGGGTTACTTAATTCTGAAACACCCTGTATAATTGTATATAATTTCATGTCACGTAAAATACATTTTAATTTATATAATAATAAAATTGCATTAAATTTTATATACTGCTTATTAAGATGAACTCAGAAAATTTAATGGGTAGTATTGTCGAAATAGTGACAAACTTCCTGCAAGTAGCACTGATACGCCTTCTGACGGATCAAAGTGGGTCTGGATGACCCACGCAAGGGCCAAAAAGTGCATCGATATTTGAACAAATCTCACTCATTTCTCTGAGTGTAAATTGTATTGATGGAAAATATTTAGACTGGAGTATTATTAATAACGAAATATATAGTATTAACGTATAATGTAATAATATAATTTAGAGTAATGATTTGGAAAAAATGAAAGTTACGAATGTATTCTTTTGATAAGCATAGCCCAGCAATGCAAAGCCAAATATGTTAAGTTCATCATTCACTTTAAATGAATAAATGTTACCATGCATTGCTGAATAATTATAAAAATCAAGCTATTTATACATACTAAATATATAATAAAGTGCAGGAAATGTTTCAAGCCAAACAATCACACGTAACAATTACAATTTAAAATAAACAATTTGAACTATACAACTGAATATAATAAAGTGCGTTAAATTACACAGCAAACGTTGCTATGATATTAAGTGGAATCGCAGAATCTTTCCAATTAATTTACTACAGAGGGCATTATACATTATAACAGATGTTATAATATATTATTATTACATATTAATTACATTATTCATTATAATTGAATAATTAATTATAATTACTCAGTAGGTAATGCCTGAATTACGCAATTATAATTAAGTAATTAATTGTAACTAAAATGAATTATGCAACAATTAAAATTATATACTAATTATATATAATTATAATATACACGTTATTAAAACATTAATCGCATACAATTATACTCTACCAATCATTTATTTAAATCATCGTGAATTCAAGTACATATTTAGACGTAACTGGAAAGAACATATAACGTGCATCAACTAAATGAAATCTTGAAGTAAACGAAGTTTAAGTGAAATCGCAAAATTAAATTAATTGAAGTAACCAAATAAATTTAATTAATGTAACCAAGTGAATTCAACAGAAATCACCTAGTAAATTCAAGTGAAATCCTCAAAAAAATTGAAGTGAAATCACCTAGTAAATTAAAGTAAAATCATATGATAAATTTAAATGAAATTACCTAGCAAATTCAAGTAAAATTACCTAGAAAATTCAATTGAAATCCCATAGTAAAGTAAAGTAAAATCCTCTAAAAATTCATGTAAAGTCACCTGGTAATTTCAAGTAAAACTACAAAATAAATTAACTGAAATCACCTAGTAAATTTTAGTAACGTCCTCAAATAAATTCAAATGATATCACCTAGCAAATTCAATTGAAATCCTCAAATAAATTCAAGTAAAATCACCTAGTAAAATCGAGTAAAATTTTAATATATATTCAAGTAAAATAACCTAGTAAATTAAAGTGAAATCACTTGGTAAATTCAAGTCAAATCACCTAATAAATCAAAGTAAAATCTCATAGTAAATATAAGGAAAATCGCATAGTAAATTCATGTAAAATCACCTAGTAAATTCAAGTGAAATCATCTGGTAAATTCAAGTGAAATCACCTGGTAAATTTAAGTAAAATCACCTAGTAGATTCAAGTAGAAATGTAAAAACTTAAAAAATTTCAAGTAAAATTCCCAAATAAGTTAAGTGAAATCACCTAGTAAATTAAAATCCTCAAATAATTTCAATTGAAATCGCTTATTAAATTAAAGTAAAAGTATAAAATTCAAGTGAAATCCCGTAGCGATTAATCTCAATTTCAAAACTCGGGCGCCACAAAAGCAGCGGATGCGGAAGAGAAAGTCTTTCGATTTTCCTCCTTCAGCAGCGGAGGTTCAAAAGCGCGACCTAAAATCCACTCAATTAACCCGGCATGCTTTCTTTTCTGAAGATAAATTGCTTTTCAACAAACAATATTTACAAATAGTATGATATACTAGTTTTTGGAGTCCTTAGCCGCGTGACTCGTTAGTCGATTGAATTTAAAAAGGTGAGTAAACATTGAAATGAATGATAGAACCGCGAAAATGAATAATAGATCCACTAAAATAGATGTGTCACATTATCCAAATCTTGACACACTTTCTTTCCCACAGCGTGACCTGAGCGCGGACGCGTAGCACTGATACGCCCTATTACCGGGCCAAACTGTGTCAACTTAACCCATACAAGAGCAAAAAGTACATCGCTATAATGACAACGTCTTTTTCATTTCTGCCAATATCTGAGTGCTCTAATACAATTTCGCTTCTGTAATTTCCGTTAGAAATAATCTTCAATAACAACAGCATTGTAAAATTAATTGAAATGAACAATGTACACGAATTGCCGATTTTTCACGTAATGCTGCCATTACCGTTCCATTTTATTCTGATTACATTATTTACTACATTATTAATATGCATTTACTGTCATTTCTAAAAATTTCGTACACGAGAATTAATTTTTACAAAATTACAACCTCAGGCTCGCTAAACCTTTTCACAAATAAATTTTTTAACGCTCACACTCACTTGACGTTCTATTGGAACTTTAATTAAACACATAGCCGCAAAATGACACTTATTTGATATAGGATTAATTCATACATAATGTCTAGATAAATTCCTATAACGTTTGCCTAGATGAATTCATATAACTAATACCTAGATGAATTCATAATTAATGTCCAGATGAATTCCTATAACTAATGCCTAGATGAATTTCTATAACTAATGCCCAGATTAATTCATAATTAATGTCTAGATGAATTCCTGTCACTAATGCATAGATGAATTCATATTACTAATGCCTAGATGAATTTATAATAAATATATACATGAACTCTAGATTTATTTTAGTTCTAGAGATGAACTAGAAATTAGTTAAAGTTCTGGTAGAACTCCATCAGAACTTGTTTGCCCTGAACTCACCCTGACACGTTCTAATTCCTCAAGTTCTCGTAGCCTGTCAAGTTCTTTTTGTTCTAAACTTTGAACTTCGTCGAAAACTTCAAGGTTGTTTTGCACGATAAACTCTGCTTGTTTATCGTCCGTCATGGTTATTTCGTCGTTATTTATCGTATGTTTATCGTCTGAAGTTTTTCTAATCCATCGCAGCAGCGCGTAAACGCCGGATGTGTTGTTGCCTTCATTGTTATTGCTGTTGTTTTCGATGTTGATATCATCGGTTTCAACGCTGTGGATGATATTGGGGTCTTCATCATCAACGTTATTATCGCCGTTGTTGATGTTTGCATCATTATTGTTGATGATAGTGTCGCTGTTATTAATGTTGTCATCATTTTCATTAATGATGTCATTGTTGTTGATTTTAGTATCGCTTTTATTGATGTCATCATTTTCATTAATAATATCATTATTATTGATGTTAGTATCACCGGCATTGTCATTGTTTTCACAATTGACTCGATTATTTTCAACAGGAATTTCTGTCTCGATTTCAGGAATATTTTTCTCACCTAATTCTTGATCGTTCAAATTTTCGGGTATCGCGATTCCAGAAATGTCTTTGAAAATGCATGTTTCTACTCGTAACGCAGCTTCAGCAAGAATCGACGTCATGTTTTATCTAAATAATTATTTTCTTTGGAGAAATAATTTTATATAGCAATAAAATGCATATTAAATCTAAGTTATTCTATGAATGATGCTGTTATTTAGACAATTGGTATTTTATTTGAAAGATATTATGTAAATTGTATCGTTATCTATAAAAATTCAGCGTTTTTAAAAGTATACGCAGTTACAGATGATATTATCTGTAAAATACGTAAATATTAATAAAACTTTTAAATATTAAACGTAAAGTTAATGTTATAAACCGATTCATTTAGACATTTGATAAAATGTATTGCATTAGTTATACAATTATGTATTCATTACACGTTGCTTCATTTTAAACTTTGGCATTGAGATATATGAACAAAATCTAAAAGGTCACAGTTACTCAAATATGTATATAATATATGTACTGATATTAAAAAATACCTATTCATTTCATGAAAAAGTTTTGTTTAACTAATTTCCTATCTTAGAAAAAACTTAAGATTAATAATTCGAGGTTGATTTTTTCATTAATTCATCAAATATTGTCTATTAAAATAACAAGACGACAAACCAATTTATTAGGTACACTGAGAGAAATGGGTGGGTCTGGATGACCCGCTTTGATGAGTCAACCGCGTCCGAAAATCGATGCACTTTTTCGACTCACTTGCCCCATTTGTGGGTCATACTGACCCATTAAATTTCAAGCATGACTCACTTGGGGCGTTAAATCACTCTGACGCCCAGATGCTAACTACGTATCCATGCTACGGGCGGCGTCATAAGAGATTTGACGTCACAAGTGAGTCATGTAATGACCTGTAACTAGTATCAAATGACCTGTAACTAGTATCAAATGACCTGTAACTAGTATCAAATGACCTGTAACTAGTATTAAAAGACCTGTAACTAGTATCAAATGACATATGAAGTCAACACGCAATGCCTGCTCGGTCTAGGATGACATTCACTCGTACAGTAACTGAAAAATTATATTTATAATTATATTATATTTTAATGAAAAATTTTGTGATTTTTTAATTAATACCTAATGGCTAATGCTAATTTTTGACGACGTGTCATTACTATTTTATCTAAGGTAAAATAAAATCAAAATTTACAGTAATTTAAATTATAGTAAATGATGGTCTCGGAAAGATAAAATTAAGTTCAACCTTCAACTTAAATTTCTTCATAAGATGATGCAAGAAAAATATAATTGAAGTGAATTTCTTTGTAGAATTTTTAGGAAATTTTACGAATATAAAAGTAAATAAAATGTAGATAACTTAAGAACTAATTACAATTGAACTAACTTTTATTATACAAATTAAAATTTAATTAAACGTTCAATTGAAACTAAATAAAACAGTATAAGACGACTACATAAGCGATAAACGGCCTGAACTAATCAAAAACTAATAAACAAAATTTGTCAAAATTATTTAGAGATTTTAATGTTTAATTAAAAGATTTTAACATTAATTATACGAAATTCATATAAATAAGAAGTTTTAATTTTAAATGCTACTTTCAATTAATATAATTTTACTTTATTTTAATTAAACATAAAATTGAACATAAATAATTAAAATTCAGCTGGAATTTACAAAAAATGTTCCGCACGATGCGGCAACATCTGCAATCAAAATGTAAAATTTCAATTAAAAGTAATCAAATTAAAATTAATAAAAGTATATGAAATTAGGATAATATCTGATTTGAAATCAAATTTCTGATGAAAGGAGACGAACGATAAATTTTTAGGTTTTTAATAGATTGAAAAGAAGGGGAAACATACAATTAATTAATTGTACGAATCTAGTGTTAAGAGCACGATCTAATTAAGAAAATAAGCATTGAGTTATAATATTTTGTTTCTTATTCCGTGAGTAAATAATTAAATTTAGACTATAAATTATAAAAATGCTAAATGATTATTGTTAATAATCATTAAATTTTTTTACTTTGACACATATAAATCTTAACAAAATCTAATATCATACAATAATATGACAAATATTAAACAAAGAAAAGGTCAAAACAAATCGGAAGTTGCTGAGAATTAAAAAAAAAACAAGTTTTCTTTCTTTGTCACATACAAATCTTAACAATATTTAATAACCATACAGATAATATGACAAATATTAAACAAAGAAAAGATCAAAACAAATCGGAAATTGCTGGGAATTTAAGTTCGTCAGAACAAGTTCACGGAATGTTGCACGCTAACAACAACCTCCCAGAACCGTAAAAAAAATCTATTTCCTGCCTCGTTCGATACAAAAATAAACAAGCGCCGCCGGGAGCGCCACACACCGCACGCCACCGAAGCTCGCGAGCTACTGAGACTAATTGTGATGAAAACGTCCCTATAATTACAAGGGTTGTTAGAGAATACTTGTCTGCATCCTCAGGAATATGTAGTAGTGTAAGTATAATAATTTATGTTTAATCGTTTGAATATGGTGCATTGAAGTATCGATCAAATATGGTGCATTAATGTATCATATGACTACGATGAATTGAAGTATCCTTTTAATATAGTGCATTACAGTATCACTTGGGTAAGTTGCATTAAAGTATCATTTGAATAAGTTGCATTAAATTATCATTTGAATAAGATGTATTAAAGTATCATTCATGTATGGTGCATAAAAGTATCATGTATATAATCCGAGTTTTAAATATAACCGACAGGTTTGAGGTATGTCGTGAAATTAAACAGAAGTTCAGAAAACATCTTGTTCGGTCATTGACGTATAAATGGACAGGCAACGGCAGGTATTCGATTCTAATAACTTAGAAATTAACAAATAGATTAAACTGATATATATATATATATATGTGAATTATATAACGAATCAGTTTATGAATTATATTCATAATAATGAATATAATTATCATTCTATAATTTACAATTCAAATTAATATAATACTGTGTTATGTATATTACCACCGTCAGTTATATTATGAATCTATAGTTTTCAATATATATTACTGATTATAATTAATTGAGAATATAATGGTATTTATTTGTTAATTGAAAGAGGGTAATATAATACTGTGTTATGTATATTACCACCGTCAGATATATTATAAATATATAGTTTTCAATATACATTACTGATTATAATTACTTGAGAATATCAAAATACCATTTATTTATTAATTGAAAGAGGGGATATTTCATGGACCAGCCCTCAGGGCGCTGACATTACCCTCGAGTGAGGGACTGGCCGAGGGCATCGATCAGGCCTCCCTGCCTCCCCTCGTTGCTATCGACCCTCAGCGTCGTGTGAAACTCAAGCCTGTGTTGAATCTGCACCTGTGTTGACTTTGTACCTGTGTTGAATTTGTACTTGTGTTGACTTTGCACCTGTGTTGCCTTTGTACCTGTGTTGAATTTGCACCTGTGTTGACTTTGTACCTGTGTTGACTTTGCACCTGTGTTGACTTTGTACCTGTGTTGAATTTGCACCTGTGTTGACTTTGCACCTGTGTTGACTTTGCACTTTTGTTGAGTTAGCACCTGTGTTGACTTTGTACCTGTGTCGACTTTGCACCTGTGTCGACTTTGCACCTGTGTTGAATTTGTACCCGTGTTGAATCTGCACCTGTGTTGAGTTTACACCTGTGTCGACTTTGCAACTGTGTTGAATTTGTACCCGTGTTGAATTTGCACCTGTGTTGAGTGTGCACCTGTGTTGACTTTGCACCTGTGTTGAGTTTGCACCTGCGTTGACTTTGTACCTGTGTTGACTTTGCACCTGTGTTGACTTTGCACCTATGTTGACTTTGCACCTGTGTTGAATCTGCACCTGTGTTGACTTTGCACCCTGTTGACTTTGCACCTGTGTTGACTTTGCACCTGTGTTGAATCTGCACCTGTGTTGAGTTTACACCTGTGTCGACTTTGCACCTGTGTTGACTTTGCACCTGTGTTGACTTTGCACCTGTGTTGAGTTTGCATCTGTGTTGACTTTGCACCTGTGTTGATATCAGAGTTCAGTTGATTTTAGGACCTTGTTGAATTCTGCTGCAAGTTGACTTCCGGACACCGTGTTGAATTCTAGCATGGGCTGATTTAAGATCCTTGCTGACTTTGAGACTGTGTTGACTGATATATAATAATATATTTTATATAACAAGTAAAATTTATAACTTAAAATACGTATAACAGTATAACAAACACAATTTTAAATATATAACGATCACAGAACTAAATCTATCGACACCCAACCTTATTTTTTACATAGCATCGATGAAGTTGCATTGTAAAAATTTCAAAGAGTTATAAAAAGAAAGACCACAAATTTTCAACAAACGTAAACGCTAAAATTCGCCGAAAGCAAAATTGTACGTATAAAATGAAAAAAAACATAAAACGGAAAAAACCCGCGCGATAAAAAAATTTCACAACGTTAACAAGCAACGTCGATAACGCTAGGCGCTCGAGAATCTATTCCGTCCGGTAGAGATAAGTGGCAAGTGATAGTGAAAAGATACGAACGTAAGCACGGCATGTGATAGTGAAAAGATACGAACGCAAGCGTGGTGCGTGATAGTGAGAAGATACGCACGCAAGCGTGACATGTGATAGTGAAAAGATACGCACGCAAGCGTGGCATGTGATAGTGAAAAGATACGCACGCGCGGCGCGTGATAGTGAAAAGATACGCAAGCGTGATATGTGATAGTGAAAAGATACGCAAGCGTGACATGTGATAGTGAAATGATACGCACGCAAGCGTGACATGTGATAGTGAAATGATACGCACGCAAGCGTGACATGTGATAGTGAAAGGACTTGTCGAAGCTTCCCCAATTGTGATGCTATTAAATAAATAATAGAGCATTGATAAATAAATATTGTTATCTATATATAGATAACAATAACTATATTATTATATAAATGCGTTATCTATATCTGTAGTCTATAGATATTGATAATGCATCAGTAAGTAGATATTGTTCACCGCACGAAATTAATATTAGTGAAAAGGCGATTTTTTTTAAATCAAGGGAAATTTTTTTTCTAGTTCATGATATGCCAAAATTTGAAAGATGACGCGTTAGTGAAACAAAAAAATGTTCTAAAGGGATATATTTTATGCATTTTTTCCTTACCAGTAATC